TCAACAGGTATCACTGGCTCTCCAAGTTCAGGAACTTTAACTAATGTAAACTCAGATATATATTTAGACTGTTTATCTGCTATCAATAAGGTGAGTTCTGAACCATCCCTTAGTTATGCTGCTATAGGCCTAGACTATCGGGGGATTTCCCATGATGCACTGAGCTCCTCTCTTCCTCTCTCTTTCTGCACTCATTCATGTCCCATTAATGCATGTTACTAACTTCACTTCTTCCCCGGAGTTCTTGTGCTTTCTCGTCTCGCAGGTTCTCATGGATCCTGGTGGAGCCTCCTGCCATGGTCCTGCTTGACTGCCATTGCTAATATCACTGATATTATTGTTATTATTATTATTACTACAGTTACTATTATTACTATAATCACTGCTCATTGTCCCCCATCGTAGTTGTTGTCGTCGTCATCATCTTCTTCATGTTCATCATCATCAGTTACTACTATTAGCGTATTTGTTGCTACTGTTGTTGCTGTGCATCTTTGTCTCTGTCTCTGTCCTTCTGTTGTTACCTCTACTCTCTGCAGTCTTCATCTACAGTCCAGTGCCACTAAATCCTACTCACTGGGCCTTTAAAATCAATTAAAATGCCATAATAATTAGGGTTAGGGTTGTGATGATTTAGGGTACTAGTTTTGAAACCACCACTTGACACAGTGACTCACTGTTTAAGTGCAGGACCTTACCCTGAACTACAGTGTAAGAGCATTATTGCGTCAGCTTCCATTTTAAGCATGGTAATATCTTTGCAATAAAGAACATTGCTCCACATTTTTATAGATCACATGATAAAAATACAACTACAATATATTCAGTGTTTCTCATTTTATTTAAGGGCAAAAAGAAAATGCTACAAAACATCCTAATAGTGTTCTGATAAAACCCCAAGCAGTGCAACAGCTGGAAAACCCAGACATCATTATCATCATCATCTCCAGCAGCGATGTCACTGCAAGCACTTCTTATTGGTATTATTACTATGTTTATAAAGAATGCATATTAAACCACACTGAAGGCTGACTTGAATGTATATGTCTGCACTTTACACATTCAAACTTCTTCCTTCTTTTCACACAAAACACTACCTCACACTGTAAAACCAGATATATTTATTTAACTCTAAAAGATGTTTAAACAGATTACATCAAACAATTTAAGTAAAAGTAACTCAATTTTGTAAGTTAAAAAACATTCACTGACTTAATTTTGTCATTGTTATTTGTACCGTGAACACAAAATACCTAGTAAAAAGTACTTAATCAAGATTTTTTTTTTTTTTACTTTTTGTGTTATTTACAATTTTTGTTGTAATCCATTTCAACAATATTTTTAAGTTAAATTAACGTATCGCATTACGGTGCAGTGAGATTCAGAATGAGAAGTTGTATCAACTTTATCTAGTCAAGTCAGTGCGCTGATTTTAATGTACTTTAAATATTTTTTAAGGTACTACCAGATTTTTGTGAAACAATAACATATTTTTTTATTCCTGTGTAATTTGTACAAAATTGTCCATGGGGATTAAGGTTTTGGTCATGGTTTTACTTGTACTTTGTCTTTGCACCATTTCAAATTAGAAGTATCAACTTCCCATGACACCTGAATGGTTTTCAGTAGTGTTACGGTGTGTTTTGTTGGTTGGTCACTATGAAGTGGCTTTTAGAAGGCTACCCCAGGGACTCACTGTAGTAGTGCACTTGCATAAAGTTGGGGGACCACTGTGGCCGTTATATCCTGACTTTTATTACTTAGTATGGGTCAAGCTCCAGGGTTATATTCTTTAAAGGACAATTCCGGCGCAAAATGAACCTGGGGTTAATAACACATGTACCGAGTTGGTCCGTTCTCTGGGATATGTTTTCATGCTAATCGAACGTGACCAGTTTTAGCACAAACCGCTAATTGCCTTATAACGCTGGTCAATGGGGCACAGAGTAACGTGAAAAGAAATCTCTTTTTATACCACTAACAAGACTCAAAATAGCACCACGCTTACACGGCAGCATAATGAGGGCCCCTACGTATAAACCAAAGCATTGAGAACTTTGTAAGTGTACAGACAGTTTATTAAAAAGATAGTTTAGAACAACAGTAGCGTTCACGTATACAGGCGGGCGCCATCTCTGGAAAACAGTCACGCGACCAGTTGAACTCTCTGAGATGTGAAGTGAATCTCGCGTGAAATGTTGTTGCCGGAAGAAAGCACTGAGCACGTAAGAGAAGCACTGAACGCAACAGAGACTAGTGCTTCCACAGGATACACACTAAAGAGATGGCGGATTATTCAACTGAATTTGAATTTTTTCGGTCATCAAGACTTACAGCTGGCAATGTGACCTAAAATCAAACGTCAAATAATCGCACCGATGTAAAACATAACTTACTCAGTGGATAACTGTCCATCTGGTCCCTCTGGTATGAGTCGCCGTCTCCAATTTATTTTCGGACATGGAAAAAAGTTTCAAGTACACTCTGTTTATCAGAGAGGGGAAATCTTCAGACTGTACAAAACACTGCGTCTATTGGGTGTCACGACGCAACAGGTCCCACTGCGTGCAACACAGGCACTCCTCTTCGGTGGCCATAGCTTCACAATGTCCGCAGGTACACCACCAGTTTCCCGAAGTACGAGGCTGTGTTGCGGCATTGACTACCGGTGGCTCTCTCTCTCTCGTAGCCCTTTCACGGAGCTCCCCGCTCGAAAAGATAAGGGCGTCCATCAAACTGAAAGTGTTCGTTGTCGATGTCTTCAAATTCGGTTGAATAATCCGCCATCTCTTTAGTGTGTGTCCTGTGGAAGCACTAGTCTCTGTTATTCAGTGCTTCTCTTATGCGCTCAGTGCTTTCTTCCAGCAACAAGATTTCACACAAGATTCTTCGCATCTCAGAGAGTTCGACCGGTCGCGTGACTGTTTTCCCAAGATGGCGCCCGCCTGGATACGTGAACGCTACAGTTGTTATCTTTTTAATAAACTGTCTGTACACTTACAAAGTTCTCAATGCTTCGGTTTATATGTAGGGGCCCTTATTATGCTACCGTGTAAGCGTGGTGCTATTTTGAGTCTTGTTAGTGGTATAGAAATAGCAATTTCTTTTCACGTTACTCTGTGCCCCGTTGACTAGCGTTATAAGGTAATTAGCGGTTTGTGCTAAAACCGGTCACGTTCGATTAGCATGAAAACATATCCCAGAGAACGGACCAACTCGGTACACGTGTTATTAACCCCAGGTTCATTTTGCGCCGGAATTGTCCTTTAAGAACTGTTCCTCCAGAGTTAGGGAAGATAGTAGGGATGAGTAAGTACACAATTATCTCTACCTGACCAACTAAATTATCTGCATTTGGTACTTGGAATGGGCAAAGCATAAACCAGATGTGGGTGGTGCTTAAACAGGAAGTGGCCAGACTAACCGGAAGTCTAACCAGTCATACAAGAGTAACTTTTAAAAATACATAAATAAATAAAACTTATACAACTTTTTTACGTGACACATTTTACCTCAAAGTACATGATACTCGTTTCAGCTGAGTACTCACTCAACCCTTGAACATAACTATTTAACAGAGTTGGGACTCACCATGCTGCGTAAACTGACATTTATGTGTAAAATGTGAGTGCCCCTTGAAAGCAGCTGGTAGGGCAACATATGTCTGTCAAAGACCAGCTTAGACAGTTCAGGTTTCATAAGGAATCTACATGCCAAAAGTAAAAACATCTGACTGAAAATCACTTTAGCTCTATAGATACCATCTTACAATAAATTCAGTCCAATCAGCCCCTGTTGGTGTCTTGGTTCAAGGAGGCTGGAGGTCTACTAGTAAAATTGGAGGTCTTCAACAGTGGTTTTCTTAATGTAATTAGCAGGCTAAACACAGTATCTGCTGTGCTAGTAGAAAGTAGCATTAGCATGTTGATGCTAAATGAGTCTGTTGGCTTGTCAGGTAGCCAACTATCAGCTTGTATGTCACTATATTTAGAGGATAGGTTTGGATCTGGCCTGTCTATCATAGTACAATACTCACATCATATGTTCACCGCAATTGTTCCTCTCCACACTCACCATGTAGCATTCTGTTTGTAGTGTATCTACGCTGTAAGAAATGGGGAAAGTATCCCATCCACAGACAATGCAACAATGCACTCTATAGCGAATATGAGGCTTGAGTAATGTGAGTTAGCCAGTGTTTTTAGTACAAAATTCCCTCTTTGTGTTTCCACAATCAGCCTTGGCGGTGGGATAAATCCTGGTAGTTGCATTCAGGTTTGCCGGGCCGAAACACAGACAATGAACAAGTGAATTGCCTGAACAAAGATGGCAAGTCATTATGTCACATCCTGGCCAGCCTACGCAAAGTTAAACAAGGATCACTTTGTGAGCACCTCAAGAACTACAGCTCCAATAAAAAACATCCATTTGGTCCGATAACGGAAAGTCTAAAAGACCTCACAACTAAATCAATGTATCCTCTTTCATACTAGCAGAGGCAGAGTAGAATTCAAATTGAAATTGAATTGATAGTCTCTGTTCCAAGGCTGGGTGTTAGTTATTAGCACAGTTACCAATGGGATTTTGAATGATGTTCGTTGATGACTCCTTACTCTTTATACCTACTTGATTTGCCTAACTCACACTGCTACAGCCTCATATTAGCTTCAACTAAACTTGCATGTTTGCCATGTAGTGGAAAAGGCCAGTATGGAGGAGGAATAATTACAGCGACGGATAACTCATTCAACATGCATATGACATATGAGTATTGTTTTGTGATAGTCAACCATCCAACCAACCCGTTAACCCTTACAAGCCAGACAGTTTTCATGCACCTCCATGTTTGCATCCAGTGTGGTTAAGAAAGTCTTTGTTATGGTGTATTGTCCCTACAGTATTCTACAATAACATTTTGCTGTGTGTATGCGACTGTTGAGCTACTGTAACCTGTACGGCTGCCTTTAAAAATCATCAGTGATGAGCAGGTTCACAAAAACAAGGATTAAACATTATTATTTACATTTCTCAGGCGGAATGTTTCAACTATAGAAGCAGATAAACAAGGAGTACACAGAGTGGAACAAAGTAAGAATCGAGGAATTCTGCTACAGAGATCAGGAGGTAACAAAGATTTATAAAAGATTGCTATTATAACATGAATATAAAAAACAACAAACAGAAGAAATAATTGTGTTTGTTTGTGTTTTGTTTTGAGTCTACTGAAATATAAAAAGAGCTTTCATTTGTGTGAAAGATTTCTATTTTTATATTTAGAGCGAGATATGCAATTTATGGAAGAGGAATACTGACAGGAGAAAAATGATTTTAGTTTGGTTTACAGATTAATCACGTCACTCCTAATGTTCTAGAAATATTTGTTTTCCACCAACTTCCTGATAGTTTGAAAGAAGAAATGTAAAATTAGGATTTTTTTTTTTTTTTCAAATTCAGCGTGCACTAAAAAAGAAATTCAGTTGTACTGTAAATGGGAAACAAACAAAGTGGATCAAACTGAGCCACACAACACTAACTTGTTATACGAGCTAACGTTAAATGACTTGCACACGGACATTCAGCTTACTGTTTAGCCAAGATATGCTATAACATATGATGTTAGCTTTAGCAGCACCTAATATATTAGGCAGCAAGTGAACATTTTGTCCTCCGGTTGATGTGTTAGAAGCAGGAAAAATGGGCAGCGTGAGGATTTGAGCGACTTTGACAAGGGCCACATTGTGATGGACGACTGGGTCAGAGCATCTCCAAACCTGCAGCTCTTGTGGGGTGTTCCCGGTCTGCAGTGGTCAGTACCTATCAAAAGTGCTCCAAGGAAGGAACCAGAGACAGGGTCATGGGGGGCCAAGGCTCATTGATGCAGGTGTGGAACAAAGGCTGGCCCGTGTGGTCCGATCCAACAGACGAGCTACTGTAGCTCAAACTGTTGAAACAGTTAATGCTGGTTCTGATAGAAAGGTGTCCGAACACACAGTGCAGCACAGTTTGTTGGTATGGGGCTGCAGAACATTCTGACCACCAGGGTGCCAGGTGGTTCACAGCAGTCCAATTTGAGCCAATAATGTGGGGTTATATCAGCTACACTTCAGTCTGAACATACCTTTAATTCTAGATCTCATTAATTGTAATTTTGATGGAAAACTAATCTTTTTGATGTATCTGACATGGCACTGGTCATTCAAGGTAATTAAACCCAATTTTAAAGAATGTAAATCTATACTGTCAATGCAAAGTATTTGTAACCCTCACACGACTGAGTCAGCTACCACACGGCTGCATTGAATCATCAGCTGATGTGAATGCTTACAGCTCATAAACATGTTAATCTTTCCTACCTTTACCATTATCATCATTAATAATGTGAACATGGGATTTCTTTTTCTTCTCATTACATTAATTCTCCTTTGTAGAACTCATTCTTTACACTTGACCTGTTTTTCCTGTGAGTGTCTGTCAGCTCTGGTGTTGCATAAAAAACGTTCCCAGTCAATGAAAGTGATTTTGACTACAAAAACATTACTGGAAGGAAAAAAATGGCACATGCTACCCATTTAAATGAAGTACTCAGTCAACAAATATTGAACATTTTGTCACACAAACAAAACTAATGGTACATTTTCTATCAGGTAACATCTAACCCCTGACACCTTTTACAATATACAACATCTTTCTTTTTTTTTTTAACAAAACACAATGAAATTTAAATTGTAAAATCATTAAACAAGAGTTAAGATTATACAAATAGAATTCCAACTATCATTTAAAAAACTGAGTGAATTAAAGTGCAAATGATGAATACATCCTTCTGTGGAAACATTACCCAAGTTACCTCTTCTGTTTGTGCCACAACATGTCCCTGTACAAAGCATGACTTCTGTGTGTGTGTGTGTGTGTGTGTGTGTGTGTGTGTGTGTGTGTTGGTTTCAGTATGGCTCTGCAAGTGTGGAGAAGGACTGCCATCTATTGGTTAAACTATAGAAAACATCGGCCCCATTCTCTCTAGTCCTGTACAAGTTTCTCGTGTGTTAACAGCAATTCAAGTTTGACAACTTCATCGTCCCCGGGAGGTTGCAGACACAGATTATTTGACCCACGATGTCTGATATTAGTCCAGTGATTTGAAATGTTTTCCAAAAATATATCTTTTTATACTGGTCTGTCTTGGCTGATGGATCATAAAAATATTCCTTGTAGTGAGAGCTGAAGAGGCAGATAGCAGTAAAATGGAGGTTAGACCTCATATCCACAGATCCATCTGGTAAAAAAAAAAAGGTTGATAAGTGCAAATATTCACACGAATAAAAAATAGGAACTGTATGACTTTGCTTTTATGAGATCCTTCCCTCATTGGTGCACTTTGATCTTGTCTCTTTAGGTGTCTCCTGTTGTCATCAGTGAAGCTGGCATAAACAGTAATGGATGAGCTTACTGAGCAACTCAGCTTTCTCTGAATCTTCTTTTTGGTGTCGCCATGGCAGAATTATGACTAATTTATCATCTAAACGTCTGAAACTTGTTCAACGTCACAGTAAACTGGATAGGCCGCAGATCAGTTGCACACTCAGCCGGCTGTCTGTCTCTGATTTTAAAATTTACACATTTTGCTCTCGGGGTCACTCTACCAATGAGTGTGGCTGGTCTGAATCCAGTTGAAGGACCCTAACGTATTTTCAGCTGCTGCAGTCCAGTGATGGAGACACTGAAGTGCACTGAATGTTGAATTCAATCTTTCCCGTGTTAGTAATAGAATAGATTATTCTGACATTGCTGCTTCCTCTGGAGAAGATTTCATATTGCCGAGTCTGACAACCTACCATTAGCCTCTGATGTCACATGACCATCACTGTGGTACACAAGTGAAGCTTCCAAAACACTCCACACTGATACCCTTGTTCTACCAACGCGAACCTAGAGCTAGTTCTGGGCTGGTGCTAATACTGGTTCGGAGTTGGTTGCGAACCTTCTAAGAACTGGTTTTCTTTTCCATGGGCTTGAGAGCCATGTCATTACATCACTGTATATGTCTTTAATATTAGCTGTTGTTACCAAGGTTACGATATTTTTTAGATTGTATTGTAACCTAGGTCTAGATGGTACTCCTTATAAAATGATTTACAGAGACCCAACAGTTCACACCATGAGCAAGCACTTGGCGACAGCGGCAAGGAAAAACTTCCTTTTAAGAGGCAGAAACCTTGAGCAGACCCCGACTCTAGGTGGGCGGCCATCTGCCTCGATGCAATGTTTGTAACATCTATGTGCTAAACAGCTAATAAATACAAAGCTGTCTGGCCACAAAGCGCCCCAGCTACTGTTGTAAACGGTTCTTGGTTCTAGAGCAGCAATGTTCTGGTGCCGAGCTGAAACCAGTTTACTGAAACCCTGGCCACGAGCTGGTTCTTTGACTTTTTAGATGTTGGTCATTGATAAGTATATAATGCATACATTTATAATGCAAAAAAACTAAAAATCTGCTTTATGCCCAGTCTGAACAAACCTTTTTTATCTCTTTTTTCTTTTTCTAAGTTTTGATTTATCAGACATGACACTTAAAACCAAACAAACATCGACACAGATCAGCATCATCAACATTGAGAGTTCTTTGGCTGTTGAAACTGGTTCAAGATTAGGCACCGGCTCAAAACCAGCCCTCAAACTGCCTTGGTGGAAAGGGGGTATCAGATGACAATGAGCCGAGGAAACCAGGGCTTGTATGTAAGGGTTAGTGTTGTAGAAAGCAATAGTAAGAGGTTAGGGCTGGCTAAAGTGCCACACAGAGTCCAAAACTAGACACGGATAGTGGATATGGTTCTGTTTATACTATGCTGGGTCTCTGCATACACAGATGTGTATGCTTGTTGGTGCAGGCAGTCCACATAGAGCCTCATGGACATGGACAGAAGACCAAATTTACACTCTGTTTACAAGTCTGCCTACATGAAATATTAGGCTGATGCTTTTTGTAATGTATGTATTAGTATTGAGTTTTTTCAAACATAGAGTAAATGTTATTTTGGAGAGAGACAGAGCGAGCGAGTAAGACAGACAGCAGAGGCAGAGGCCTTTAGGTCCTGTCCTCACGAATAAGTTTTTCTCGAATCCGGATAAATACTTGATTGTATCGGCCTTGCGTCCAGACGGATACGGCGTTTTTTGCGGTGTGAAAACGGTATTTTTTGGAAATGGGTCCCAGATTGCCCAGAGTCGTCTGGAGGGGGAAAACGTATTAGCCCCGCCTCTCTAGCCTTTAACCTCAGCCGCCGCCGCTAGACGCGTCATAACAACAACAACAATGGCGAACTACTACTACTTGTTTGTAAACAGAGCATGCTCCATGGCTTCTCTTCCCATTTTAGTGTATTGGTGTGGCGGCGACACAGCGCCACATACAGGCCTGGCATATGTACTACAGCGTTTTGGATCGTTTCAGTGAATCCGTGTGGACGCAGATATTTCTGGAAACGACGCCGTGTTTACGGAGATTTTTCCCGAAACGACATCGTATTAGGTGAGGCCGTGTATTCGTGAGGACAGGCCCTTAGTTCCACAGTGGTGTGGTACAGCAGTGTGTGCAAAACGGGACTGAAAAGGTGGAGCTCATTAAAAACACTAAGCCGGGTGGGCGGTCTCTCCACTAGCCACCGCAGCCACTGATATCATGAACCTCGTCAAAGTTTATCTGGAACATGAATCCATCAGCTGCCACACAAACCTGCATATATTTCCCTCCAGCTGCTGACAGACATCTGAAAAGAATCTTTTCAGTCCTTCATCTTAGAAATTAGTATTTTGCTTCTTCAGTGGTTTATTTAACAAATTCCATTTTTGTGTGCATAGAAAGTAACAATAAGATTCAATTAATACAAATATAAAATCTCCAGCTCACAGGAATTTTAAGCCCTGAATAATACTATATTCCTATTCATACTTATGTGGTAAGGTTTAGTATCTTAACAGTGACCTTACTTTAGATTAACATTGCTGTGTTTATTATAATAGTTTAAAATACTCCCACGTGCCAGTATTGTATTTTAACCTCAGTATATCATACAGTCTTATATGTCCTGTTGCAGCTACTCAACACTGTATTTATGATATTTTTCTCAATATAATATTACAGGGACAACTGTCAGTTTATATGTCCTCTCCAGAGTCCAGTGTGTAGTTAAAGGGAGAATGTCTGCCATCTGTCTGTCTAACTTGAACAGTGCAGGCAGATTACAATACAATACAAACCGAGTGCAGCAGTGTGGACCATCGGGTTACCGAAGTGGAACTGTAAGGCCAGATAATGGAAGGAGCTTACACACTTATTTTGGAATTTTAACCTCTTCATGAATGATGTTCTGGCGCCATCCATGGGGGGATCCCTACCTCCGAACTACAGACCATGACTAGGGCTGTGCGATATGAAGATATACAGTGTGTCGGGTCGGCCTGGTATTATGGGCTGATATCGCAGACATATTGGCATCATATCAGTACCGGCAGATGTTACGTGATATGCTCCGATAGGAAAACTATTTTTCCAGTATATAGTGCTTGTGGTAAAATGCTTGTGGTAATATATTGCCGTCACTACAAAGTTCGTCCAGCAGAGTGCGGTTGTTACACTAGTAGTTGCATGGAGTAAGAATAAATGTTAGTTTGCAGAGAAAAGTGCTATTCTCATTCCAGCTTGAAACTTCACTATATTGGCTGCCATTTAGGTAATAATCAGTGACTTTTCCCTCTCTAAAATTGGTACTGGGCCCTAAAATTGTATATCAGTTGGGCTCTACGTTTGTCACACGGGTATGGTTTGGGTACGAAAAGTCTGACACAAATCAGAAAACCACACTTTGCAAATGATGCCATAGACTGGTCACCATAACAGACTCAAATGCCACTAAACTCTTTTACCACCGAAACATCATCCCACAAATCGTGTCAATCAGTGGGAGAAAATTTGCACAAAGGTTCTAAATAAAAGGAGAAAAATATGTGATTCAAAATGTGGGGCCTTTCTATGTGGCCAGTTTATATAAACTGTTCATTTAATTTAAAGCAAATGTGCTGATATGCATCATTATCTGGATATGAAATTACCTATATTATGGGATATGAAATTTTGGTCATATCACACAGCCCTAAACATGACTATCAGAAAGATGTCATGGACTGTAATATTATAGATGCAACCATGCTACCGCCCAGTCAACAAATGAATTTCCTACAGAGCTGCGCTCCATGACAAACTTTTCTGTTGTGTATATAGTCATCCAGCCTGCTGTTGCTGCTAACTATTGGTATTTTGTTTTGTCTGGTACTTGCAAAATACCACATGAATAAGGGAGCTACTGATTCATTGTTTTTTATATTCTTATGTTTACCTTTGCAAAATGCTTCCTAATTAGCTCTAGAGGGCTAGCTTCTGGATATTAACTCATCACAGAGACGTGAACCACTGATAAGGGTTTCAGGGTCGGCAGGCATCCAACTCACAGAGGAGACATTTTTCCGTGGAGGTAGCCCTTCATGCTGTCCTGTTCCAGGTGGCAGCTGAAACTGAAGCTGTGAGTGGTTTCCAAGCTGTAGGTTTGGATTTTTAAAGTCAATGTGTGATGGGTTTTTGACATAGCTTATCTTGATACAGTCACTGGATCCATTTTAAACCCACAGTGTCTTCAAACCATCAAATCGAAATGAAGCAGACAAGATACATCCATCCATCCTGGCTGCAGGAAAATCCTCCTTGGCTTGACGTGAAAAGGAAGCGAGAGAATGTGAATGTGGCTGGGTCAGGATGATACCTTTTGAGCAGTGGAGAAGCAGCAGCACAGTGGTGGTGGAGTTGGTGCTGGCTGTGACGGATGGGTGGTTGGGGGTGTAACTATTGTCAGTTTTCAGCCAGTGACAGTGCCAGAGCTGCCTGCAGTGCTGCCTCTTCATCAATGCTGTAGTCCTGTCAAGAGTGCAAAAAACAACAATAAAACATTAATCTAATAAAGAACAGTGTAAATATATATATATATCAGGGTTTCTGCAGCTTAAATTTAACACTTTTAAGACCATTATGAATGCAAGGAGGAGATTCCATCAGTGTTTAATTCAATGCCATGTCTGAATATAACAGAGTCCTACAATAACTTTAGTCCCTCCGAAATTGATAATCTTGTTAATAGTGCTGCAGGCTCACTACGAACAACATGAGATTCTATCGCCCCTATAAAAAGGAAACTATTAAAACATAGGAGACTAGCACTATGGTTGAACCGCCAAACCCGCCAATTAAAGTAAAAAGCTAGGAACTCTGAAAGGAAATGGCGCTCTTCGAAATTATTAGAATATCGCTCAATTTGGCAAGATAATCTTAAAACCTATAGAAAGGCCCTCCGTATGCCGAGGAGCCTGTTACTCAGCACTAATAGAAGAAAATAAGAATAACCCTAGGTTCCTCTTCAGCACTGTAGCCAGGCTGACAGAGAGTCACAGCTCTATTGAGCCACATATCCCCATAACCTTAAGTAGCAATGATGTCATGAGCTTCTTTTATAATGAAATTATTACTATTAGAGAGAATATTAATCACCAAATGCCCTCAACAGCTATCACTGGCTCTCCAAGTTCAGGAACTTTAACTAATGTAAACTCAGACATATATTTAGAATGTCTTTCTGCTATCAATCTTCATCAGTTAACTTCAATAATTTCTACATTGAAGCCATCAACCTGTCTATTAGGCCCGATCCCAACTAGGCTGCTTAAAGAAGTTGTTCCCTTAATTGGGACTTCTTTACTGGATATGATTAATCTTTCTTTATTATCAGGATATGTACCACAGTCCTTTAAAGTAGCTGTAATTAAACCCCTTCTTAAAAAGCCCACTCTTGACCCAGGGGTTTTAGCCAACTATAGACCGATTTCTAACCTCCCCTTCCTCTCTAAGATTCTGGAGAAAGTAGTCGCTAAAGAGTTGTGTGACTTTCTACATAACAATAGTTTATTTGAGGATTTTTAGTTAAATCAGATTAAGGGAACTGCACTAAGCTGGTTTAGGTCATACTTATCAGATCGTTCTTAGTTTGTACACATTAACGATTAATCTTCCATAAATACTACAGTTAGTCATGGAGTTCCACAAGGTTCTGTACTTGGACCAATTCTATTTACTTTATATATGCTTCCTTTGGGCAACATTAGTAGGAATCACTCCATTAACTCATTGCTATGCAGATGATACACAGTTATATCTATCGATCAAGCCCGATGAAATTAATCAATTATCTAAATTACAAACATGTCTTAAGGACATAAAATCCTGGATGAGTTGCAATTTTCTGATGTTAAACTCAGAAAAAAAAATAAATTCTTGTACTTGGCCCCAAAAACCAACAACTCTGAAACTCACTGTCTAAAGATATAGTTACTCTAGATGGCATTACCTTGGCCTCTAGCACCACTGTAAGAAATCTTGGAGTTATCTTTGATCAGGACATGTCATTTAATTCCCACATAAAGCAGACCTCCAGGACTGCCTTCTTTCATTTACGTAATATTACAGAAATTAGACACATCCTGTCACAGATGGATGTAGAAAAACTAATCCATGCATTTGTTACTTCAAGGCTGGAATACTGCAACTCTTTATTATCAGGTTGCCCCAATAAGTCCATTAAAACACTCCAATTAATTCAGAACGCTGCAGCACGAGTACTGACAGGAACTAGGAAAAGAGATCACATCTCTCCTGTACTAGCTTCTCTGCTCTGGCTCCCTGTAAAAGAATAGAATTTAAAATCCTCCTCCTCACCTATAAAGCTCTTCATGGTCAGGCCCCTTCATATCTTAAAGAGTTCATAGTACCCTATTACCCCTCTAGAACACGACGTTCTCTGAATGCTGGGCTACTTCCTATAGTCTCTAAAAGTAGAACAGGAGCCAGAGCCTTCAGTTACCAAGCTCCTCTCCTGTGGAACCAGCTTCCAGTTGTGGTTTGGGAGGCAGACACCCTCTCCACATTTAAGAGCAGGCTTAAGACGTTCCTCTTTGATAAAGCGTATAGTTAGGGTTGGATCAGGTGAGCCCTGAACCATCCCTTAGTTATGCTGCTATAGACCTAGACTATCGGGGGATTTCCCATGATGCACTGTGCTCCTCTCTTCCTCTCTCTTTCTCTTTCTGCACTCATTCATGTCCCATTAATGCATGTTACTAACTTCACTTCTTCCCCGGAGTTCTTGTGCTTTCTCGTCTCGCAGGTTCTCATGGATCCTGGTGGAGCCTCCTGCCATGGTCCTGCTTGACTGCCATTGCTAATATCACTGATATTATTGCTATTATTATTAATATTATTATTACTACAGTTACTATTATTACTATATCACTGCTCATTGTCCCCCATCGTTGTTGTCGTCGTCGTCATCATCTTCTTCACGTTCATCATCATCAGTCAGCCCATGTCGCCAAGTGCTTGCTCATGGTGGTACTGTTTGGTCTCTGTAAATAATGTTTTAAAGAGTTCGGTCTAGACCTGCTCTATTTGAAAAGTGTCCTGAGATAACTTCTGTTATGAATTGGCGCTATACAAATAAAAATGAATTGAATTGAATTGAATTCAAGAGCTGGCAAAAAAAGTACAAAGAATATCAAGGAAAATCAGTTCCATGGTTCCATGTTGGTTTTGTAGTGTTGCAGCATGATTTTTTAATTCCAAAACAAATTTAGAACTGAGACTGAAAAAGTAACGTTAACTTCATTAATCCAATTTATTATAGGACCTGTCGAAAAAAAGGTCCAGTGTGTAACATGTAGGAGGATCTTTTGTCAGAAATGAAATATAATATCCATAGGTATGTTTTCATCAGTGTGTATTCACATGAATATTAGAACTGTTGTGTTTTCATTAGGGCTGTGTATTGGCAATCTGGTGGGACAATATGTATCATGAAACAGGGGTTACGATTCAATATATTGCGATACATTGCGATAATGTTAGCCAGGCGATATATTGTAATTTAGTTTTTAAAAATCTAATTTTAAGAAAACTATAGTATAAGGAACACACCACTGTATGAATAAAATTGAGCTAAAAACTTTAAATTTACTTTAACATTGAACCATTTTTATCTCCACTTCTACGGAGTCAACTGGCATGTTTCTGCAGTAGCCCAGAACAGACAAACTAAACACTGGCTCTAGATAGGGCCTTTTCGGCCCCCTGTAGGGGAGAAGCTGCAGATCACAATAAACTGAACACTGCTGGTGTCTGTATTTGATGATCTGAGAACGATTTGTCTGTTCTGGGCCACTGTAGAAAGTGGAAGTTAAACTACTGGACTTACAACGAAGGTGTCGTAAGAGAACTTGTGTCTGTGGAGGAGATGCTGGAGAAAGTTGGAGCTCTTATAGCTGGGGTCTCCCCATGGCATGGCTGAACACACCGGACACACCTGGAGATACAGACACATAGGTTACTGCCACAACTTGTGAGACGTTCACATGCATGTGTATCACACAGTGACTTGAACGTAACAGCAGGGCTGTGACTACTTTTGAAGGAAGTCAGATAAAACCTCCACCACAGCTGTGTGTGGGCCTTATTTAGTGGAGTCCCTCATGGATCCATACAGATCTAGGTCTTCCAAGTACAAGTAGTATCTGTGAAGTGTGCTGCACTTTCTTTCACAGTGTACAATCATTGTCCACAGTGAGTGGCAGGTCGCTGGCAGGATGAGAGGGTTAAAGTGCACAGTGACATGAGTGAGAAGATCAGGGTAGTTATCAGTGAACACACTAAAGAGTAAGACTGAATTACACTGTCATAGCCCTTTTTGACCAAACAGTCACAAGAGCTCAAAGTCAGGAAATGATTTGTGAATTTTGTGGACAAAATAAATAAAAAAAAAAAATTCCACCCTCTTTCTTTTTTCTCTTTACCTATTAAAGTACAAGTTTGCTTATGTCCCAACGCTGACTCCCTTCTGGATTTTAAGGGGTGTGAGAAAAAGAAAAAAACAAAACATAAACAGTAGGCCTATATCTCAGAATTTCATTAATTTCTGTAAAGAAAACAAAATGAAATTAGATTATAATTTAAGATTTAAACTTTGAAGACCTGGACACAATATATTCAAACAGCCTCATCCTGCTACTAGAACAATGAGAACAAAACACTGAATTAGTCAAAAAGAAGCCGATTAAGTTTTTATGATTGTTAAAAAAGTGTATTAAAAATATCAGTAAAATTCATCTCTGCTCAAAATTCATCCAAATATCTGGTTTTAAACAAACTTCGTGCAGTTGTTGTGTTCACTGTTTGGGTTCATTGTAAAGTTTATCAGTAGTTCCCTACTGTTATTGTTATTATTGAATATGATATGACATATTCATAAAAAATATTACTCAGTTTACTGAATGAGAGAAAATGGCTCTCAACTACTGGCATAAACCCTCTGCAACTTTTTTTAGATGATCTAAGCCGTAACTGTTGTTTAAAAGTTAATAACAATGGATTACAATGGTATTAATCTTCTGTAGACTGGACCCAACACATGGAAAGACAGGTTCAAAATCAGAAAATGATACCAATAGTAACTTTGATAATGTTAAAGTTAGTCTAGGTAATGACGTGGTCTCTTACCACTTTATTGGGGTCATTACGGTGGTTATCCATACAGTGTTTCACCAGTTCCTGCTGGTCCAGGTTTCTGGCTCCACAGAACGGACACACAAACGTTGACCGGTTCGGAATATTACTACACAAATATGCAAAGAGAAGACAGGAATTATCACAAGCTTGTGGCAGCTGATTCAACCCTACTAACTGATCTTGGCATTGCATAGGTACTGGCCTCCAATGACTCACTATTGCATTCTGAAATGGTCATATTAGCCACTCCACTGGATAAAGTAGATGTCTAGGCTACTTTATGCAAATCAGGTGCCTCTGAAAACTCACATAAAATGTTTAAACTAACCGTTATTGATCTAAAATGAAGACAGATTCAGCAACTACATGGCATACTTCTCTCTGCAATTCATTTTAGTGAACTATTTCACAATATGAGAGTTTCCAAACGAGCCACCATGTTGGTCCGTTTTGAAATCCCGGAGCACCAAGCTTGTTTGTGACTACAAGTGTCGAATGCTGGGAAGCAGCACGACCCTTCACGGCCAAGAGCCCCTGAGGACACGTACCATTACAGAGACACAGCCCAGTGTTTCCCATATAGAGGGTTTCTTTAAAATTCTTCTTTACATGGGAAATGTAGTTGTTGAAATTATGGCTGTCCATTGTTTCGATGAGGCTAGAGAGTTTTTCTAAAGTAATCTGAAAATGCTGGTGTGAGTGCGAGTACCTTGGTATAGGTTGGGAGGTCGGTACCACTGGGACAAACTTAGGACAGTTGGCTATCTGCTCCTGTACTTTAGAACAAGAAGCAATGTGGGACCTCATCTTTACCAGAGCCACCTGAGAACACACACACACACACACACACACACACACACACACACACACACACACACACACACACACACACTTTTTTAAGACTAACAGCTCCACGTCCATGGTGTGAGTTCATTTTGTCAGCCTAATTAGTGTTGCTGTCGTCTCCATAGAGGATCTATCTGTCTCACTGTTCTGTCCATACATCACATCTCCAACAGTTTACACTACGATCATGATCTGAACTATCTGGCTATGTATCTGTAAATCCATTTCTTTTGCACACGTACATTTTAACTGATACAGTTATCATCACCAGCCGTGATTCCATCCAAATTTATCGTAAATTTTAACTGAATTTCAAGTGAAAAGAAAATGCAAATAAATGTTCGTTTCTATCCACTATTGTTATGCAATTATTAGGAGTTGGCAATAACATTTAATATTTTGTTACGTGCTTAAAATTTGTACACACATTCTAAATAGAGGGAGAAAAATGATCTGACTAGTAATGAGTAAGTACTTTTATATATAAATGTAAAAAGAAATAGGACTTTCCATGTGGTCATTTTATATAAACTATTTATTCATTTACTTTACAGAAAGTGTGCTACATTGAGATATGAACTGACCTATATTGCACAGCTCTAGGTGCCCATCGTGTCAGAAAACCAGAAGAAGAGGGTGCAACAATAAAATTAAAAGAGCACCAGTGGAAGCTCTAACAGCATCATCATGGATGTATTATAGAGCCATGGGAGCGATGAGGACTGCGATTGAAGTTATTCAAAATTTGCCATCAAACTGTCCTAATACAATACTTCGAAATGTGAATAAGAATGCATTGATGTAAACAATTTCTATTTTGTAGATTTTGTTTGTCAATAATTTGTTCTTGCAATGTTATTATTTACATCAAACATGAACAATGAATGGTCGCTGTCTACCTTCTTGCTGCAGCCCCTGCATGGTGCTTTGTATGACGCCAGCTGCTTCTCCACACTGGAGGAGCGCTCCACCTTCTTGGGGTCAAAGGGCACGCGGCAGAGAGGGCAGAGGGGTGAAGTCACCTGGAGACACGGCTGCAGACACTCCCCACAGAACCTGCAACAGTAGACGACACACAGCACGGGAGTGAGGGGTTAAGTACATGTTCAAGGCAATAAGATGGTCATTAGGGAAGGGCAGATTGATCCTGCAGGTCTAAGGAGACCTTCGCTCTCCTTTAGGCCACCGCTGCCCCCGCACAGTTAGAGCCAACAGAGCCCAGAAGTTATGTTGTTATAATAAGGTTTTTGTTTGACAACACAGAAATCAGGAAGAGTTTCCTGGATAATCTAATAATAAAAGCAGAAACTAGCAATTATTTCTATTATCATTTTATCTATCAATTTTTATTCCAAATTAATCAAACAGTCTGCTGAATGTCAAACGTAGTCTAATGACAAATTACCAGAGTTACCAGAGACCTCAAATGACTTTTCCAGTCTGACCAACAATAAAAAAAATCCAAACCTAGCAAATCAATCTAGAACTAAATTAGACAAAAAAAATGCTGAAAATCCTCAGATTTGAAATGATATAATATATTGTTGTTACCTCTCTCTCTCTCCCCCTCTCTCTCTAACTGGTCGAGGCAGACGGCCACCCACCTAGACCCGAGGTCTGTCCGTGGTTTCTGCCTCTTAAAAGGAAGTTTTTCCTCATGGTGTGAACTGTTAGGTCTCTGTAAATAATGCTATAAGGAGTACAGTTTGAGCTACAGTAGCTCATCTGTTGGATCAGACCACACGGGCCAGCCTTCACTCCCCCACGTGCATCATTGAGCCTTGGCCCCCCATGACCCTGTCTTCGGCTCTTTTCTTTCCTTGCAGCACTTTTGATAGGTGCTGTTTCCCTGCATAGTGAAAGGCAAGCATCTGTGTCAGTGTTTCCTGAAGTTTTATCCTCCCCATCAGCAGCAGAGGAGTAAAAATAGCTTCATTTTCCTTTAACTAGAAATAGAACTGAGGCTACCTGAGGTCTGCTCTGCTCTTTGTTGTTCAGTTCAGTTCCAGACTGAGAAATAATACATATACACCCCTCTGGCTAACTCCTCTCTAATTTCATTTGATATAAAGTAAGAAGCCTACACTGATAGTCATTATGGTAAATAGTAAATGGACCTGTACTTGTATAGCGCCTTTCTAGTCTTCCGACCACTCAAAGCGCTTTTACACTACGTGCCACATTCACCCTTTCACACACATTCACACACCGATGCACGGCATTGAGAGCAATTCGGGGTTCAGTATCTTGTTCAAGGATACTTCGACATGTGGCATGAGGAACCAGGGATCGAATCAACAAACTTACAATTAGTGGATGACCCGCTCTGCCTCTGAGCCACAGCCATTATTCTATCAGTTACACATTTCACAAGTCAAAAGTTACCTTTTAACTTGACTGCAAATGGTCTCAGATCACCTATTTTGGTGTTTTCCCAACAGCAACCCCTCATTTAATCATTATATGAGCAAGTTAGAAAAAAAGGAAGAACACAAAGTGGAGCTCTCAAACCCAGCAATCGAAGGTACAAGCCTCCACTTCACTGTTGAAGATGTTTTTGCTATTGTGGCCTGATAGTTGTCAAACTCCTATTGTTCTTACACTTGGGTCTGCCAATATGCAGCGTGACACAATTCATTTTCCACCCGTGTAATGGCTGACAACTTCTTTTATTTCATTGTGTTCATTTCAGTTTCTCCCTGTGCACTGCAGTCAGTCAACTGGGGAGACCTGCAGACAGATGGGTGCTACCCATGTGTCACATGACGTCACCTATGAGTGAGGAGCTTCCCACTGTTGTCAGCCTGTGGTACCACTACTGGCAATCTGGATCTCTATGGAGGTGGCTGGCACTCCTGCACCCTGCTAAATCTGTGTTTAACTGAAGGTATCTCTCTCATACCCAGTGCACGACATCATATTTATAGAACTGCCTATTTTGAGCTTGTTGTAATAAAATAATAAAATATTACACTGTACTGTGTCTGCCCTTGAGGGCCGCCGTTTGTCACTGCTTCAGAATGTAGAGCTGTTTAAGAATTATTTACAAATCACTTACAGCACCTTTAACACAACGTGTTTTTGAATTTTAATTTTATAAACACTGTCTTTTCTGAACTTACCAATCATAATATGCGACTGACATTTATTTTCCAGCCCTTTAGCCACAGCCAAACCTAACTGAAGTTTGACCTACGTTAGTATTTCCCCTATACTGGGACATCCGTGTGGCACACAGCCACAGTTTTACCACACAGAATCAGTAATCATAAATAATAAAAATTCTATTTGGAGATTCGCAATCGATTCATAAAAGCTGCAGGGCTCGGAGAGACCATGCAGAAAGATAATGTCCCAAGGAATTCAAAATAAGTCAATGTGATTCCACACATGGCAGGTGATTTATAAAAATAAAAGCATAGAGTATGTGTGGATGTGTAACCTGACAAATACTGGACTTTTGAGGTCACTATTAGTAGGGCTGTGTCTTGGCAAGAATCTGGTGTTACGATACGTATCATAATGCAGGGATTATGATTCAATATAATGCAATGCTATAACAAAAGTGATATACTGCCATTTCTTTTTTAATCAAATTTTTGGAGAACTGTCATAGTGTAAAGAACACACATGCATAAAATCTGAGTAAAAAGTTTACTTTTACAACACTTGTCTAATGGTTCGGTGCTTAAACAGTGTTTTTGAGAATTGATAAAATATCATACAAACGGGTATCACAATATGATAGTTTTCAATATTTTCCCACATCCCTAACTATTAAGGCTGTGTATCTGCAAGAACTTGGCAATAGGGTACGTATCATGATACAGGGGTTATGATTCAGTATACTGCGATACATTGTGATTTTAAGATAACTGTCATTGTATAAAAATAGTATATGCATAAAGTTTTTTCTAAGCAACCATAACAGAGCCTGTAACATCTTACATCACAGCCCTCAGTTTACAACAACACTATCTAGCAGTTGGGGGTTTAAACACAAAAATCAATAGTGTTTTTGAGAATCGATACAATATCAAAAAACTAAATATTGAGATACTCTAGTGTAACGACATTTTCTTACACCCCTAGTCATTATTATTGATAACTGAAAGATATGAGGACTTTATTAGGCTACATCAGCCAACATTTATACATTTTTACTTCATAACATAAATAAACAGTGTTGATGTAAATCTATTTAATTCATATATCACAGAATCACGTGTACAATTCACGTCAATTTGTGTGTCCACAGGTGGCGATGCACAGTGAAGAACAACTTGTCAGTGCTCTTTGATGCACAAACTATGAAACTGTGTCACAGCGTGTATATTTGAACTGTAAGGTCCAAATTAAAAGACCAGTGTGTAGGCTTGAGTGGCATCTAGTGGTGAAGTTACAGATTGCAACCAACTCAACACCGCTAACATTTGTATTTGATCAGGGTTCCCACTATACACTCTTTTTCCAGGAGTTTTTCTTGACAATTCAGGACCTCATCATATGATTTATCGGTAGGCCTGATATTGACATAAAGTCTAGTTATGAAGCATGTCAGGTTTTCTTACGATGTCAAAAAGACAGTCTGTTTCACTCTGCATCTGGTGTGAACAGCTAGATTGACCGACACGGCTGAAATGAAAAAGGAGTGTTTAAAGTGTTCTGCTTCACGTCTGGTTAAGCAACTCAGTAGTGTCATATCTCACAGGTTGCTATCTAGAGCCAGTGTTTGGTTTGCATGTTCTGGGCTACTGTAGAAACATGGCGGACTCTGCCAGAAGAGGACCCGCTCCCTCTGTAGTTAAAAACTCATTCTAAGGTAACAAAAACACAGTGATTCCTATTTTCAGGTGATTATACACTAATGAAATCATAGCAAGGAATATTATATTCCATTTCTGACAATACATCCTCCTAAATGTTACACATTTGAGCTTTAATTATTAGAAGACATATGTCAAATAAACCCATCAAATGAGTCTTTAGGAAGCTTTTTCATAACCTGAGACCCTAAACCTGTAGCGATGGATTGACATCAGTCAAAGTTGTCAGACAGTGTCACGTCCTGCTGACAGATGTATGAAAAACAAAACATAATGTAAATGAACTTACAAAGATATAAAACACATTATATTAACAACAGAGCTGCCTGGTTTAATCTAAGCAGGAAGCTGGACATTTAAAAGGCGACATGTCACCTCAACTTTGTGTATGTCAACACACAATAATACACATCCAAACCAGGAGTACTTTACGTGTGAGCGCAGCTGGCGATGCTGACGGGTTTATGGTAGACCTCCAGGCAGATGGGACAGGAGAACTGGCTCTCAATGCCTTCAGCCGGGGCTGCCAGCGAGCCTGAGCCGCTGTTGGGCTGCTGCTGCTGGCGGAGCTGGGTGCTCGCCGAGACAAAGCTCCGAAACATCGCCATCATGGAGCCCGGAGAGGATCTGCAATTGTGGACAACAGCTCGCTGCCCGAGAGAGGAAGCTGTTCAAAATGCGGTTAGCTGGCGCATTAACCGCACAGCTACTTGAATATACTCCGTACTAACATGGCGGCTTTTCAATGTACTTATCATAAAATTATCCTCAATCAACCAAAACATTACTTTTCCGTGGCTGGAGAAGACATGCCGAGGAAGTAAACATTGGGAGCAGTGCTCGTTGGCGGGTGTCTCGCGGTGCTTCGGGGATGACCTGAATAAAAAACACCAATCTATAATGTCACACACAGCAGCTAACGCTACATCCAGCTGCGTGTCAGATCAGCGCTGTCGGACACGCGCCAGTGAACGCTCGCGAACAAGACGAGCGGCTACAACAAAAGCTCCCAACGCGCGTTGCTTTCTGGAGCTGGAAGTCCAACTATTCATTTACTTCCAGTACACTACGGTTGTCTGGAACTGCAATCCCAGAGGCCAGTTCAGAGGTGTACACTAGGCGGACCCGGCCAAAAGTCCCGAATAAAAGAGAATAACCTCGCGTTATCATATATTTATGATTGTTATCTGGGGCACATCTAGAGGGGTGGCATGGGGTGCCACCACTAAAAAATACATGGCCACCCCAGCTGCCACCCTAGTTTGGTGTCAATTTTTGTCAAATTTGACATACATTTTGATACATTTGGAAAAGAATGTGTTGATTATGATGATGATCTGTTATGGCCACATTTTAGACTAATTAAATTGTAGCTCAGCTAGCTAGTTATCTGAAGTTCATTGAACTTCATTGAAACGTGTATTTGGAAAAATGTCTGAGGATTTAAAAATTAAAAAAAACAATTAATTGATTTATTCAATGTTTCACTAATGTGCCACAACAATAATTTTCATTTTTACTGAAAAATCTTAAAAACATGATGATGTGACATTTTTGTGTTTTCTTAAATTTGGAAAACAAGATTTGTTTCAGTATATTGCTTTTTGTCATGTTTTATCTTTATCAAAAATCTGTATTTGGAAAAATGTCTGAAGTTTTGGAAATAAAACAATATATTGATTGATGCCATTAGATCCTTTGCACTAGCTTTAAAAATGATGGAACTTTTCCCCATAATAACCAATTCTCTGGGATCTATAGATCTTGATAGGGCAATCTCATGTTATTCCATTGTGCAATGCGTTTACATGTCTAAACTAGAATTCTTCAATTCAGAGTATCACTTTAAAATGGAGATATTAAAAGTTGAGTAAGAAACAAAATCAATTCAATTCAATTCAATTCAATGTTATTTGTATAGCACAAAATCATAGCAAAAGTTATCTCAGTCTACTTTTCAAATAGAGTAGGTCTAGACCGTACTCCTTTTAAAATTATTTACAGAGACCCAACAGTTCCCACCATGAGCAAGCACTAGGGTGTAGTGTAGGGTAGTGGGGTAGAGGGGATGGGTGGTGAAGAGAGAAGGACAGAGACAGAGACAAAGGTGCACAGCAACAACAATAGCAACAACTATAATAGTATAATGACTAATGATGATGATGATGATGATCACGACGCGGCAACAACGATAGTGGTGCTGGAGGCCAAGTTAAAACTATCTAGAGTAACTATATTTTAGATAATTCATTTGACACCATTGACCATCATATTCTATTAGAGAGACTTGAGCATCTAAATGGCATTAAAGGAACCGCACTAAGCTGGTTTAGGTCCTATTCATCAGATTGTTTTCAGTTTGTACATGTTAACGATGAATCCTCCATAAACATTAAAGTTAGTCATGGAGTTCCACAAGGATCTGTGCTTGGACCAATTCTATTCACTTTATATATGCTTCCCTTAGGCAACATTATTATAAATTTTTCTGCGCCACCCTTTGCTTTTCTTTATGCTCCTCCTTTTGCTTGTACTTGAATTGTACCTTAAACCTTTTTTATTGCTATTCCTGATGCTGCTCCTCAAGCTGCTCCTCAAGCTACTTCTCCTCAAGCTGCTCCTGCTCCTTTATGACTATGACTGGGATTCTGATAATAATGAGCTGGTTAGGGAGGGGCTGGCTTTGAGGTCCCTGAACTCGAGAACCCTGGGCCACTCTCCTCAGAGGAGTCTTTAGGATTCTACAGTGACAGTTCTCTTGACAAATGCCCTCTGTTTCCTTCAACCTCCGGCCTCCGCTCCTCCACATGGAGGAGGAGCAGGGAAGATAGCGACGAGGAGCAGGTCGTCCCCAAGAGGCCGAAGTTGTCTGGTGACAGCGACAAGGACTGACTCCACATCCTTCCTCAGCACCAGAGCATAGGGCCTGTCATCTATTTACTCCAACATCTGAGCTGCAGCTATTCACTGCGGACCAAGAAGGTGAGTACGAGCTAAAATAAGTGGCTTAGAATTGGCTCTCATATAAAAAAAGAGAGATATTAATGCCATTGTGTAAACTAGCTATATACTGTGTGTGTGTGTTTGTGTCTGTGTGTGTGTGTGTGTGTGTGTGTGTATATACAGTGTTTAATTCAATTAAATTCAATTAAATTTTATTTCTTTAGCGCCACTTCATAACAGAAATTATCTTGGGACACTTTTCAAATAGAGCAGGTCTAGACCAAACTCCTTACAACATTATTTACAGAGACCCAACAGTACCACCATGAGCAAGCACTTGGGGACGGCGACAAGAAACCTAGGACAGATCCTTTGGCTCTAGGCGGGTGGTCATCCGCCTCGACCAGTTGGGGTGAGAGAGAGAGAGAGAGAGAGAGAGAGAGAGAGAGAGAGAGAGAGACACAGACAGACAGACAGACAGAGGTGCACAGCAACAACAGTAGCAACAACTAATAGTAGTGAGTGATGATGATGAACATGAAAAAGTAGATGGCGACGACAACAACGATGGGGGACAATGAGCAGTGATTATAGTAATAATAGTAACTGTAGTAATAATAATAGTAATAATAATAATAACAATTAAAGCTGCAAGCAGCATTGGGCGGGACCTCCCCCTCCACGCAACTCGGGCGCCACACCATGTCACCCCATGCCCAAGCCTTCATCACCGGAAGCTGAGGGAGACCGCTCTACATTGTCACACGTTTCAGACACTGTGCAAAAGACTTACACTTTCATAGCAAGATTTTTCACTGCGAAACTTGGAAATTCAGTGCTACGCCACGGACATGCCGTTTGACGCACAGTAAATATTTGAATAACTTTTGATCACCAATGTGTCTAGATTGCAGTGATCGAATTTGAAGTCAATCCGATAAAATCTGTAGGAGGAGTTAAAATTGAAGCCCTGAAATGCTGGAAACAGCATCACAGCTTGACATTCGATTCAAGCTGGCCAACTTTGACGGCACGCCACATACACGCCCTTCAACATACGGTCGCAAATTGCGCAAGTTTTAATCAGTAACATTTTTTGAATGTACTGTCCAATTTTGAAGCAGATCTGATAAATTCCCTAGGATTTTGTTTGCTCAAATACAAGGCGAAAAAGTGAAAATGACAAACAAAATGGCCGCCGAGAGTGAAAATGAAAATGAAAATAACCGACTTCCTGTGGGTTTTGGGGCATGGGTCCAAGATGCTTTTCTGTAGGTCTCGGCATGTTACACGTGCCTACCGAGTTTCATACATATCGGTGAAACGTGGCGACAGGGCTGCTTTGTTGAAAGGCTGTAGGGGGCGCTACAAACACGACAAACACGATTTTTGGTATGTGTGCTACAGGCACCAGTCTACACGTGTCCTGTGAATTTCATATTCGTAATTATTACGTACTCCGCAGAGTGATTTACCATGCCACCAGAGCGCCACCCAGTGGCGTGGTGTTTTTCTCCTTTTTAAGTGAGCCTCAGGGAGCCATGGGCAATCATCGTACCAAGTTTTGTTTTAATCACACATGCCGATGTGGAGATATAAACTCCTTCATTTTAAGGAGCGCCACCTTGTGACTTTGGCCTAAAATTGTGCACGATGCCTAATGGAGACATAAGGAACTATTTGACCCAAGGTTGGTGTCAATCGGATATACCAATGTGGAGAAATGGTCCACTTCCTTTTTTTGATGAAAAATCTACAGGAAGTGCTAATTTTATAACTTCCTTATAATATCATAATACTTTTAATCACTTTTTTGCCAGGACGGTCTCCAGATGCTACGTGAAAAGTTTCGTGGGAATCGGACAAAAGCGCATGGATGGAATACGAAAACGTAGTTTTTGGACATCTGCACTCTAGCAGAAAAAAATCTAGGTGGAAGGGGGCGTGGCCTATATAGGGAGATGCAGCTTCATTCACCGAACTTGTGGATATAAGGTTTTTGAATGTGAGACAAACGATGCGGGAGTTATTAGCCTAAACCTACTTTTCTTAATAGTAGCACCACCTAGTGGCTTAGTCAAATGTGACGCATAGAGTATCCAATTTTTCACCAGGCCTGACCACTATGCCAAATAAAATGAGTCCAGAGTATATGTTTAGGGGGTCAAAAATGCAGTGAAAAGGGCTAATAATAATAAACATAGCAGTAACAATAGAGACCTCACAGTCTTTGACACTGGCTCGGTCCCTAATAATATCAGTGATATTAGCAATAGCAGTCAAGCAGGACCATGGCAGGAGGCTCCACCAGGATCCATGAGAACCTGTGAGATGAGAAAGAACTCCGGGGGAAGAAGTGAAGTTAGTAACGTGCATTAATGGGACATGAATGAGTGCAGAAAGAGAGGGAGAGGAAGAGGGAGCTCAGTGCATCATGGGAAATCCCCCGATAGTCTGGCCGGCCGGCCCTAACTAATTTGGTGCCCTAGGCAGATTTTGGTGGCCCCCTTGCATCCGTATTCCACTGCCAGTTATATACATACATGTACTCACGCAAGAAACTAATAGCTTTGTCTTTGACATTTTATTTTATTTTTAGAGAAACAAGTTGCTCAATCAAAACAGTTAACAAAAAATAATAAATTATTGCCCCATCGATGTAGACGTTCGCCACCTTTTCTCGCCTGCGTGCCATTTTGTTTATGTATTGTGGCCCTTTGCAAACGGACCTCCAAGTCCTTACATGTTGCCATGTGAGCATTTGCTCCTGGCTATCCTCTGGAACTTGGCAAGTGGCTTGCTTTTTCCGCCTTTAGTCCTTCCTATTCAGTTTGTAATCTCTCTTGGAAACATTTTGGCGAAGCAGTGCAGCTATCATCCTTTTTGAGTACATCGCCGCTTCTTCTGATTTTCCCCATTGACTAAGTGTCTGTTAAAATACTCATGTTGACACCTTTGTCCGTCCTTTGTTTGGGAATGTGAGGTGTTTTCATTTGAAATGGACCTCTGTGAACTAACCCTGTTCGTCGTCATCAGTTAGAGGAGATGGCCATTCAGCAGGGTCTATTGGTGTAGCCTTTATTCCTGATGCTGCATCACTGGGTTCTTCTGAGGTGGAGGTGACAGGAGGATCACTTGATGCTGTTGAGCGGCAATGACTGTCGATGGCCCAGTATTTGCTGGAGTTGGATTTAGATATTTCAACAGCGCATCTGAGAGAGAAGAGGAGTAGAGACACCATTGGGTGTTATAGTCTAATAATAAAGAAATGATTCCAGAATAAAATTAAATAATAAAATGAAAATTAGATTAGATTTCATCTTATTGTCATTACAGTGAAATGCTGATTAGCAGAATGCAAATAATGCAGTATGATATAACATATGGGAATGTATTAACATTAATGATGTGCACTTTAACATGGCTGTAAAGTTTAACACTATAAACACACTTTAGACAATACTGAACTGTAACACAACAAACAACAAGGCTTACAACTCTAATATATAAGGTGTGTGACTTACAAGCAGAGCAAACGTTGCTAACCAATAATAAATACAACTGGAGCTGGTTCCACAGGGAGGAGCTTGTAACTGAGGCTCTGGCTCCTGTTCTACTTTTAGAGACTATAGGAACCACAAGTAGCCCTGCATTCAGAGAACATAGTGTTCTAGAGGGGTAATAGGGTACTATGAGCTCTTTAAGATATGAGGGGAGAGTTTTGTAGGTGAGAAGGAGGTTTTAAATTCTATTCTAAATTTTACGGGGCCAGTGCAGAGAAGCTGTACAGGGAGATGTGATCTCTTTTCTAGTTCCTGTCAGTACTCTGAACCTGATAATAGGAATTGATTGAGTAATCCAGCCTAGATCTAGGCTGCAATTCCTTACTTACTTACTTCTAGAAGTAACAAATGCATGGATTAGTTTTTCTGCATCTGTCTGTGATAGGATGTGTCTAATTTTTGTAATATTACGTAAATGAAAGAAGGCAGTCCTAGAGGCTTGCTTTATGTGGGAATTAAATGACAAATCCTGATCAAAGATAACTTCAAGATTCCTGACAGTGGTGCTAGAGGCCAAGGTAATGCCATCTAGAGTAAATATATCTTTAGACAGTGCGTCTCTGAGGTTTTTGGGGCCAAGTACAAGAATTACGTTTTTTTCTGAGTTTAACATCAGAAAATTGCAGCTCATCCAGGTTTGTAATTTCGATAATTGATTAATTTCATCGGGCTGGATCGATAGATATAACTGTGTATCATCTGCATAACAATGAAACGGAACTCCATGACTAACTGTAGTATTTATGGCAGATTCATCGTTAACATGTACAAAGTGCGAACGATCTGATAAATATGACTTAAACCAGCTTAGTGCGGTTCCTTTAATGCTAATTTAATGCTCAAGTCTCTGTAAAAGAATATTATGGTCAATGGTGTCAAATGCAGCACTAACAAAAAGTCCATTGTCGGAAGCAATCAAAAGGTCATTATTAACTTTAACCAGAGCTGTCTCTGTGCGGTGATGAACTCTAAATCCTGACTGAAAATCCTCAAATAGGCTGTTGCTATGTAGAAAGTTACACAACTGATTGGTGACTACTTTCTCCAGAATCTTAGAGAGGAAGGGGAGGTTAGAAATCGGTCTATAGTTGGCTAAAACTCGGTCAAGAGTGGGCTTTTTAAGAAGGGGTTTAATTACAGCTACTTTAAAGGACTGTGGTACATATCCTGATAATAAAGAAAGATTAATCATATCCAGTAAAGAAGTGCCAATAAACGGTACGTTACGCCTAGTTGGGAGTCAACAGCTAGTTGGGAAGTTAACTGATGAAGATCGATAGCAGAAAAACAATCTCAATATATATCTGATTTTACATTAGTTAAAGTCCCTGAACTTTGAGAGACAGTGATACCTGTTGATGGCATTTGGTTATTAATTTTGTCTCTAATAGTAATAATTTTATTATAAAAGAAGCTCATAAAGTCGTTGCTACTTAAGGTTATGGGGATATGTGGCTCAATAGAGCTGTGACTCTCTTGTCAGCCTGGCTACAGTGCTGAAGACGAACCTAGGGTTGTTCTTATTTTCTTCTATTAGTGCTGAGTAATAGGCTCCTCTGGCATTACGGAGGACCTTTCTATAAGTTTTAAGATTATCTTGCCAAACTGAGCGGTATTCTAATAATTTCGAAGAGCGCCATTTCCTTTCAGATTTCGCGCTTTTTGCTTGATTTGGCAGGTTTGGTGGTTGTACCACGGTGCTATTCTCCTATGTTTTAATATTTTCTTCTTTATAGGAGCGATAGAATCTAATGTTGTTCGTAGTGAGCCTGCAGCACTATTAACAAGATTATCAATTTCGAAGGGACTAAAGTTGTTATAAGACTATGTTATATATATCTGAGTTTACATTGTTAAGTTCCTGAACTTGGGAGCCAGTGATACCTGTTGAGGGTATTTGGTGATTCATTTTTCCAATAGTATAATTTTATTAAAGAAGCTCATGAAGTCGTTGCTACTTAAGGTTATGGCCGTATTATGTGGCTCAATAGAGCTGTGACTCTCTGTCAGCCTGGCTACAGTGCTGAAGAGGAACCTAGGGTTGTTCTTATTTTCTTCTATTAGTGCTGAGTAACAGGCTCCTCTGGTGTTACGAAGGACCTTTCTATAAGTTTTAAGATTATCTTGCCAAATTGAGCGATATTCTGATAATTTGGAAGAGCGCCATTTCCTTTCAGATTTCCTAGCTTTTTCCTTTAATTGGCGGGTTTGGTGGTTATACCAAGGTGCTAGTCTCCTATGTTTTAATAATTTCCTTTTTATAGGAGCGATAGAGTCTAATGTTGATCGTAGTGAGCCTGCAGCACTATCGACAAGATTATCAATTTCAGAGGGACTAAAGTCGTTATAGGACTCTGTTAAATTCAGACATGGCATTGAATTAAACATTGATGGAATCTCCTCCTTAAATTCAGCTACAGCACTGTCAGATAGGCATCTCCAGTAGGAAGCTTTGCCTAATGGCTTATAAGTTTTCTTTAAAGTAATATTAATTCAAAAGTTATTAAATAATGGTCAGATAGAAAAGGATTTTGTGGGAAGACTATTAAATGTTCAATCAATGCCATATGATAGAACGAGGTCAAGAGTGTGATTAAAACAATGAGTTGGTTTATTTACACTCTGACAGAAGCCAATTGAGTCTATTAATGATATAAACGCATTACTAAGGCTGTCATTGTCAACATCCACATGAATATTAAAATCACCTACAATAATTACTTTATCTGATTTAAGGAATACCCCTCTCCTCTTGTTTTTCTCCCCCTTTTCCTCCCCCCCTACAAGTAATTTCCCCACGGGGATTATTAAAGTATTATAAGAATCATATATGGCTGCTACTCCACCTCCTCGGCCGGTGCCTCGAGGAATTAATGTGAGTTTTAATATGACTGGGGGGGGATTCATTTAGGTTAACATAGTCATTCAGAGATTATTCTGGCTGTGTTACTAAACATTATGTTGTTTTGTCCTCTAATCTTCCTCCACTACCTGAGCTGCTGCTGTTCACTGTGGAACAAGAAGGTGAGTACAAGCATTTTGTGACGATTGGACAATGTCACCCCCAGTGTTTTGCATTTGTGGCGACCATTTGAATGAAACTGTTATGAAAGGGTATGTTTCAGGTATTCATGTGAACATATCCTGTGAGTTTTGTGACGATTGGCCCAAAGATTATTGACTTATGTCTATTTAAGTGTTGCACCACGCCTCTTCTGAACTTATTGGTCAGTATTTCGAAAAAACAAAATGAACAAGGAAGTGTTTCATGTTCAAGGAGAAAATGAGGACAAATTCCAATTTATTTTTTTTAAGAAGCAGTTTCTGTTGACTGACAATCAAGTAATCACATTCAGTGAATCAACAAGCTATAGGCAACAATTAATAAACAATCTGTGATGATCCACAAAAGATCTAGTAGCAACTGGACCTATGGTTTAGGCAGAGGAATTTATTGTCTCAACCTGTTTATCCATATGTTATCACTTTCTCAATAATTTAAGATTACTTGTCTTACTGACCATTTTCTATCTTACTTTATCCGACTCAATATCCTGTGGACAAAAAGTGAGTCTGAGCTTAAAGAAAGTGACTTAGAGCACCCTAACAAGTTCATATTGTGTGCTACACCTGTTTATCCATACAATATCACTTATTTCACAGATGACTTGTCTCACTAACCATTATTTATCTTTCTCTCTTCTCCTCTTCCTCTACCACCTGAGCTGCTGCTATTCACTGTGGATAAGATAATAAGACAATAAGACAGAGAATGTTAGGTATGTTGTTGTATGCTCCTTCTGTTTATGTATATATTATCACTTTAGTCAACAATCAACAAATATTTTTACTTTCATTATTTATCTATTTGACCACCTGAGCTACTGCTATTTGGACTAAAAGGTGAGTTTAAACACACTCCACCACCATGATCCCTGCAGGACATCCAGGGTTTCCATGACGACAGCAAAGAAACGCTCATTCTGACCCGATCAGAGGCATGAGTGAGGACAGGACGAGCTGCAGAGCAGACGGTGGTATGGTCATAATTAATACCAACTTAAACAGAAGTTTCCTGCCAGTTTTAATATCACTTCTCTCTCTCACGTTGTTATACTTTCAATTATTATTATTATTATCACTGTTATAATTTATTTTAACAGTACATCCAGGGTTCCCGTGACAACAGCGAAGAAACGCTTACTCCTGACCTGAGCAGAGGGATGGCTGACAATAAGATAAGAAGAGAGCAGTGGCAGACTATATATACCTGTATTTATTTAAATTTTTTATTTTTTTAAGACCCGGGTCTTTGGTCCTCGTGGAGCCCCTGAGAGTGGACACAAAACCAGCATCACACACACACATACACACACACACACACACACACACACACACACACACACACACACACACACACACACACACACACACACACACACACACAACCCTACACACACACACACACACACACACACACATACAGCAGTGCACTGAACACACAGAAGCACCCTCAGCACCAGACTCTGCACTGGATATTGAATTCAATCAAATAAAGACAAAGTCAGACATGTGAAATGATCCTGTGTTCTGTGAGATCCTTTACCCTCAGTGATGCTGGCTTAACATGAAGCTTCTTCAACAGTGACTCACTTAAAGGTCACAGTAAATGTGCAGCAGCTGAACTGCTTCCGAATCACAGGAGCCTGTTTCAACAAGCAGCTACTGAGTTATCTGCAGACCTCAGGTGTCGTGTTAGTATTAAGCATCACATTGAGTTTGTAAGATACAGGACATATATATATATATCGGTTATATACATGCATAAGGTCTTACAATGAAATTACTGAGAAACTGTTGTGGAGGGTTGTGGGTTCCATCCCCGGCTCCTGGTGCCACATGTCAAAGTATCCTTGAACCCCAAATTGCTCCAGATGCCGTGCATCGGTGTGTGAATGTGTATGAATGTTAGTTTCTGTTCGATGGTCTTGGCCATCACTGTGTGAAAGGGTGAATGTGGCACATAGTGTAAAAGTGCCTTGAGTGGTCAGAAGACCAGAAAGGCGCTATACAAGTACAGGTCCATTTACCATTTACCATTCCCCTCCAGCAGCTGGCGTACAGTGGTTTCTGTCAGAACTTCTTCACTGAAAATGTATAGAGGTTGACGAAGGTACTGAGATTAAACCATGTACCTGTACACATATGCCATTAAACCAAAACAGTGTTGGTTCTTTAAATCACCACCAGAGGGCAGATAAAACAAATGTATGCTACCCTGACTCGAGGCAAGGTGCCATTTTGCTCATTATTTGCTATAGCCCATTTCATTTTCTCCTCCATCACTGTCACTGAACAAACCTTGTCACTGACAACCACAAGGTTCCATCTTTATGAATTTTTAGGGTGAGACAAAAAGTGATTACCAGACAGATGCTTTAAAAACAGAAGCAAAAGACGTGTCATTATAACTTAGTCTTCATTTAAAAATAGAATGAAATAATGTTTTTTTTTCTTGTAAACAGAACTGCCAGTATTTCTGCAACAGATGTTACTGCAGTGTTTTTTTCTTCGTATTCACTGCTGTTGTAATGGCATCATTTAAATATATATGCACTAAATATTTTTATGAATAGTGATATTAGTTATGACTGTAATGTTGCTTAGTTATATTTGTTTAATGGTTTATAAGATATAAAATCCTTCCTTTCCTTTTATGGCCCAAAATTGTTTGGAATTTCAGTAAATGTCACAAGAATAGAATATTGCTCAATTTGGCAAGATAGTCTTAAAACCTATAGAAAGGCCCTCCGTACTGCCAGAGGAGCCTATTATTCAGCACTAATAGAAGAAAATAAGAATAACCCTAGGTTCCTCTTCAGCACTGTAGCCAGGCTGAGAGTCACAGCTCTATTGAGCCACATATCCCCATAACCCTCAGTAGCAACAAGTTCTTTTGATGATAAAATGATTACTATTAGAGACAAAATTAATAAACAAATGCCCTGAACAGGTATCACTGTCTCTCCAAGTTTAGGAACTTTAACAAATGTAAAATTACTCTAGATGGCATTACCTTGGCCTCTAGCACCACTGTCAGCAATCTTGGAGTTATCTTTGATCAGGATTTGTCTTTTAATTCCCACATAAAGCAGACCTCTAGGACTGCCTTCTTTCATTTACGTAATATTACAAAAATTAGACACATACTATCACAGACAGATGCAGAAAAACTAATCCATGCATTTGTTACTTCAAGGCTGGATTACTGCAACTCTTTATTATCAGGTTGCCCGAATAAGTCCATTAAAACGCTCCAATTAATTCAGAACGCTGCAGCACGAGTACTGACAGGAACTAGAAAAAAGATCCCCTCCCCCCCACTAGCTTCTCTGCACTGGCTCCCTGTAAAATGTAGAATAGAATTTAAAATCCTCCTCCTCACCTATAAAGCTCTTCATGGTCAGGCCCCTTCATATCTTAAAGAGCTCATAGTACCCTATTACCCCACTAGAACACTGCGTTCTCTGAATGCTGGGCTACTTGTGGTTCCTATAGTCTCTAAAAGTAGAACAGGAGCCAGAGCCTTCAGTTACCAAGCTCCTCTCCTGTGGAACCAGCTTCCAGTTGTGGTTCTGGAGGCAGACACCCTCACCACATTCAAGAGTAGGCTTAAGACGTTCCTCTTTGATAAAGCTTATAGTTAGGGCTGGATCAGGTGAGTCCTGAACCATCCCTTAGTTATGCTGCTATAGGCCTAGACTATCCGGGGATTTCCCATGGTGCACTGAGCTCCTCTCTTCCTCTCTCTTTCTACTCATTCATGTCCCATTAATGCATGTTACTAACTTCACTTCTTCCCCGGAGTTCTTGTGCTTTCTGGTCTCGCAGGTTCTTATCGATCCTGGTGGAGCCTTCTGCCATGGTCCTGCTAGATTGCCATTGCCAATACTGTTGTTGCTGTGCACCTGTCTGTCTGTCTGTCTGTCTCTCTCTCTCTCTCTCTCTCGCTCTCGCTCTCTGTCTCTCTCCCTCTCTCTTTCTCTCTCTCTCTCTCTCTCTCTCTCACCCCAACTGGTCGAGACAGACGACCACCCACCTAGAGCCGAAGGATCTGTCCTAGGTTTCTGCCTTTTAACAGGCAGTTTTTCCTTGCCCTTGTCGCCAAGTGCTTGCTCATGGTGGTACTGTTGGGTCTCTGTAAATAATGTTTTAAAGAGTTCGGTCTAGACCTGCTCTATTTGAAAAGTGTCCTGAGATAACTTCTGTTATGAATTGGCGCTATACAAATAAAATTGAATTGAATTGAATTGAATTAAAATCATATATATATTTAGGCTGTTTTTCTGCTATCGATCTTCATCAACTAACTTCAATAATTTCTACATCGAAGCCATCAACCTGTCTGTTAGACCCCATCCCAACTAGGCTGCTTAAAGAAGTTGTACCCTTAATTGGCACTTCTTTACTGGATATGATCAATCTTTCTTTATTGTCAGGATATGTACCACAGTCCTTTAAAGTAGTTGTAATAAAACCCCTTCTTAAAAAGCCCACTCTTGACCCAGGGTTTTTAGCCAACTATAGACCGATTTCTAACCTCCCCTTCCTCTCTAAGATTCTGGAGAAAGTAGTCGCCAAACAGTTGTGTGACTTTCTACATAGCAATAGTTTATTTTAGGATTTTCAGTCAGGATTTAGAGTTCATCACAGCACAGAGACAGCTCTGGTTAAAGTTAATAATGACCTTTTAATTGCTTCCGACAATGGACTTGTCTTTGTACTTGTATTATAAGATCTTAGTGCCGCATTTGACACCATTGACCATAATATTCTTTTACAGAGACTTGAGCATCAAATCGGATTGAAGGAACCGCACTAAGCTGGTTTAAGTCATACTTATCAGATCGTTCTCAGTTTGTACATGTTAACGATGAATCCTCCATTAATACTAAAGTTAGTCATGGAGTTCCGCCAGGTTCTGTACTTGGACCAATTCTAATCACTTTATATATGCTTCCCTTAGGCAATATTATTAGGAATCACTCACTTTCACTGTTAAGCAGATGATACCCAGTTATACCTGTTGATCAAGCCCGATGAAATTAATCAGTTATCTAAGTTACAAACATGTTTAAGGAAAAATGCAATTTTCTGATGCTTAACTTAGAAAAAAATGAAATTCTTGTACTTGGCCCCAAAAACCTCAGAGACTCACTGTCTAAAGATGTAGTTACTCTAGATGGTATTACCTTGGCCTCTAGCACCACTGTCAGGAATCTTGGAGTTATCTTTGATCAGGACATGTCCTTTAATTTCCACATAAAACATCCAGATCCAGGACTGCCTTTTATCATTTACGCAATATTACAAAAATTAGACACATCCTGTCACAAACGGATGCAGAAAAACTAATCCGTTTCTTCGAGGCTGGATTACTGTAACTCCTTATTATCAGGTTGCCCCAATAAGTCTATTAAGACACTACAATTAATTCAGAACACTGCAGCACGAGTACTGACAGGAACTAGGAAAAGAGATCACATCTCTCCTGTATTAGCTTCTCTGCACTAGCTCCCTGTAAAATTCAGAATAGAATATAATAATATCCTCCTCCTCACCTACAAAGCTCTTCATGTTCAGGTGCACTGAGCTCCTCTCTTCCTATCTCTCTCTCTCTCTCTTTCTGCATACATTAATGCATGTTACTAACTTCACTTCTTCCCCGGAGTTCTTGTGCTTTCTCGTCTTGCAGGTTCTCATGGATCCTGGTGGAGCCTCCTGCCATGGTCCTGCTTGACTCCCATTGCTAATATCACTGATATAATTGTTATTATTATTATTACTATTATTATTACTATAATCACTGCTCATTGTTCTCCATCATTGTTGTTGTCGTCGTCATCATTTTCTTTATGTTCATCATCATCAATCACTACTATTGGTGTAGTTGTTGCTACTGTTGTTGCTGTGCACCTTTGTCTCTGTCTCTGTCCTTCTGTCGTCACCTCTCTCTTGAATTGAATTGAATTGCAAAAAGTAATATTACTACTTGAATCACCAATCATCAATGTAGTTGAACTAGCAAACTATTACCAAATTTAGTTAAACTATGTTCACTACCCCTCAACACTGGGGATGTGTGCTGTAGAGGGGTTGGGTTGGTGGGGCTCTGCATGTTCAGTTATCACTAAGTTTGTGTGGGATGTAAACATGTGGAAATTACCCATCAGCCCACTCCTGCCATCAGAGCTGCTGTTGCTGTTGTCTTTTACACTGACAGGTTTATCTTGTTAATGAACCTGTGCCCTGTTAGTTCACTATGAGGAATAAATGCACTTTAAAGCTGCAGTAGGTGACCTTTATAAAAACCATATGATTATATCCTGACAGTAGTAAATGAGACAGATAATCTGTGAAAGATTCCTCCAAGTGCTCCTAAAGGGATCTGCAAGAATCCACGAGGCGTCAAGAAAAACAACCAATCAGAGCCAATCATCGAGATATAAAAGATGGGACATATAAAAGATACCGCCTCTGCCATCTTCTGTCATCCAGAGCCAGAGTCTGCGCAGAAGTGATTGCAGTTGCCTTCACGGTATCAAGATCCCACCCATACACCCTGCCAACTCAGCAGGAACTCAGCAGTCAATGATAATGTGAAACTGTGTTATAGTTTCAAATAAGTAATTAAAACCAAACTTATCTGAAACACTTGAGCATACATCAGCATGATAAGAACTAACTTAAATGACAGAAACCATGTTTGGACAAAGATTATCCCTGGAGCTCTACTGGAAGTCATCCAAAAGATATTCCCTCATTTGGTGTTTTGATGATGGTGGAGGAGAGTGCTGTCTAACACGTTGCTCCAGTATCTCCCATACTTCAGTTGGGTTGAGATCTGTGAAGACCATAACGAGCTATATGATTTACATTACTTTCATACTCTACAAGCATCAACTTTATTCAATGTATAACCCAACTTATCCATATACGTATTTATTAATTATACTAATCCAAATTCTGACATTTCACTGTTGGAATGTACAGTAAAAACATTGTTCATTTCTGTCACATGAATCAGCATAACAAAAGTATGAAACAACTTTCCTGGTCCTGGCAGTGATCATAAATGTCTAGGTCTATTGTTAGCTGACATGTTAACAATAGAGCCAGGTCAGTTACAGTGTGCAGGAAGAGGATACATATCTCATCACATTGTCTTATGGACTAATGTATAGCCAGTGTATTACCTTAAAACATCAAATGTCCATATTGTAAAAGGATCACATCAGCCCTAAAATAAAATGCATCTCCACTTTCTCCCATTGTATAAAAATGAAGCCAAAATATTCTGGATATGCCAGCACTCAGAGCCAGGGTCTGTGCAGTAGTGATTATTTAATCAAACCATAAACACCAAAGTATCAAATAACAAATTAATTTGTAATTCATGTGTTGTATCAGTTTTGTGCAAAAGTATTTGATGAATTAAAAGCCTGTCCAATATAGAAGCCTATTCCAAATAAAGACAGGTTGAGTTTAGTGATTGAAGCAAATAAAGTGAAGCCCGGGTTGTTATTGAAGTTTTATGGTATACGTAATTTCCAGAACTATTACCAACATAGGCCTATATACATCCATGGACACACACACACACACACACACACACACACACACACACACACACACACACACACACACAGACAGTACTGTATCCCACTCATCAATCCCTGTACACAGTTCCTTTAAACCCTCTGTAACCCTCACACAAACACACAGATATGCAAAGGTTTCACAGCTAATGTTTTGTTTTTTCAGTGCTTTTCCTTCTCACGTTTAGAGGGCAAAGGGAAAAAAGCAACATCCGTGATCCTATCTGCCAACTAGAGTCAGGCTGATTTCCTCAAGAGTGCTCTCTGACAATTACTGGATGGACATAAAAGGCCCTGAGAGCTGACTAGCCTAAGAATAACCTCATTTAGAGCAATTTGCCATGGTGGGAGGGAGGATCAGACTGGAAGGTTGTTAAAATGTTATGATTTGTCCCCTTCACCTCCCACTCTGTGACCGGTCATCATCTTTACTTTCAACTTTATTTGTGTTTTCTTCACAACTTTAATTAAACCAGTTCCTTTCACTGTTTTGGAGCTTGCACCAGAATTAGAGCGGCACTGATAAGCTGGCTGATATTGGGCTTTTATTGAAAGTCGTAGTATGTTCATAGCATCTTCAATAGCATAAATGTCCATGTTGATCGAAGACTTTTTCTTTGAACTAAATCTTTTAGCTGCATGAACTTTACCATTTACACTTCCTGACTTTTACTATTACTGTAGTGTCTCACTTCACAGTGAAGTTTCTAAATATCAACTGAGAAATGGGGGGAAATATGGCAAGTGGGCGCATTCGTATGAGGGGCCGTACAAGACATTATTCATTCTGGCCCTCTCACATACATATATTCTTCTTTCACATACATATATATTCCCTCTCACATACATATATTCTTCTTTCACATACATATATATTCCCTCTCACATACATATATTCTTCTTTCACATACATATATTTTCCCTCTCAAATACATATATTTTCACTCACACATTCATATATTTTCACATACACATTCATATATTTTTACTCTCACATTCATATATTTTCACTCACACATTCATATATTTTCACTCACACATTCATATATTTTCACTCACACATTCATATATTTTTATATATGTATGTAAGAGGAAAATATATGTGTGTGTGAGAAGAATATATGTATGTGTGAGAAGAATATATGCGTGTGTGAGACAAAGTATACATGAAACGGAAGGACAATAGTGGAAACGGAAGGCAGGCCATTTTATGCGCTGTGATTGGCTGATAAGTTGGCGCGAGGTCATGTGCAGGTCATGATTAACATGGAAGGGAGAGAGGAGACCCGTGCACTGCAGCAAGCCATTGGGGGTATTAAGAACTATTTTATCATCATCTGAAACAGTCACATCGTTGTCCTCGTCCCTTGAGCAGCGGAGGACAAGCTCATCAGGACCTAACGTTACTCACAGCGCGGCGGAAAATGAGACGAGAGAACTTTTCAGACCTTGAAACTCCCAAGTCGCTTCCGCAGCCCAAGCAGCTAACGTTAGCGCTACACAAGGACGACCTGGAGGACTGTCGCAGTCTTTACGATATGAGACACAGCTACACTTTGGCAACTGGGGCTCCCGGAAAAGGAAAAGGTAAGAAAACGTAGCGTTACATGGTAACTTAACTGGAAGTAGTAAATCCCAAATGCTCGTTTGCTAATTTGGCTGCAGTCAATGTGTATGTTAATACATGTTCGCAAAACCCGTAAATGTCCGTAGTAAAAACAATAAAGACAATTAAACAATCTTCAAATGACAGAAAACATCGAAGGCTGTTTTGTACTTTTGAGTAACGTTTGTATAAAATGGGTGTAAATGATTCTCTGTGTCACTCTAAGGTTAAGTTGGTAATCTTATAATAATGTGTCTAACGTTAGCGGTAGCTACATAACCTAACGACAGCTGTGGTTAAGGTATTGTCATTTTCAGTTAATAGGTCAACTTAACGTTAAGTTGAACTAAGGGCAAATCAAGGTATGTGTAAGATTATAGAGCATTATAGAGCAGGTGAGGAGAGACATGGCTGACACTCTCCCAGCTCCATCATATTTGATCTTTCAGTAGATTATAATATATCTTTTAACAGCATAATCAACCAATGTTGACGATAACCAAAACTGCTAACTGCAACTTTTGGTATTTTCAGCGTTCTGGAATTCTAGCTTCTGATTCTAGCTTGCGTAGCTAAAGTGAAGAGTTGTCAGCAGTAGCGGGTTCAGTCAGTCCATATCAAAATATTGTCAGAACATGCAGTATGTTTAATGGAATGTAGACCAGAATTACAGAACATTTTCACATTTTTTCATTCCTAAATGACAGTAGAGGGTTACTAATGTAACTAATGTAACCCTCTAAAGATATTGACAATGCCTAATTTAAAGTAGTTTTATTGCAGTCTGCTGTTTGGGCAGCCTTCTTTGTCTCGTTGTTGTTTATCCATCAGCTTGTTAATAATGAATCAAATGATTGTATGTACTAGTATGCACTAGTATTAGTGCAACGTTAAAGGGCATGCAATTAAGGATCCAAAAATAACACCTCTGCTTTGTTTTGTAGGGCCAAATCACATTACCACGATACTTTCAACAAAGATATCATCCTTCTTCCAAAATCATCGAGCAGTGCTGTCATCAGGCATTGCACAAAGCAACAGTTACATAAACAGGGACAGAGCACTGTCACTGAACAAATAAGGGATGCCTTTGGAGAAAACACTCTGATGTAAGGTAAGGACTAATATTTGTTTTTATTATTTCCAAACTGTGATTATAAATGACTAACTGAAACTGAGCAGTTCTTCTGGTCAGGTACTAGTATGTCCACTGGAGAGCTGCCCTTCCACCAGTCAGCCTTCTACCTCATCATTAAGAGGAATAACTACAGTTGATCCAACTCTGGTCCTGACTTGCGAAGATATCTCAACTTCACCCTACCAGAGCAGCATTCCAGCAAGTCATTGTTCTGCCTATACCTCAACACGCCATCAAACAGCAAACTGTGAGAACTACCTTTCAGTAATGGCTGACAATGAGGAATTTAACCTGGCGATAATATCAAGCCTGGAGAGTGAAAAGTTAGTACATGATGCAAATGCAGAGCCAACCCAACAATTAAGTTATTTCTGCTTACAAATACTGTACCTGTATAAAATAATTTTAATTTTAAGCTTACTACACAATACCTTTCTACAGTAAAAGTGTTTTTATTGCCTTCATAAAACTTTATTAAAACCTGAACTGTACTTAAGATATTAGCACCTTATTTTAACAAAGATGCAACAAATGTGTATTTTTCTAAACAAAAAATGTGTGAAGAACGGTTTCAGGATTATCAGCATGCTTACTCAAATTTTGACCTTTAACAGAATACTGAGAAAGAGGCCTGTCCACAAATTAAGCCATTCCAAAACCATGGGTATTGCCCAATGCAAAATCCATGTTTTCCTGAAAGGCTCTGTAAGAGGTGTGCAGTGGCAGCTTCAAGCAATTGATGCAGGTGTTTGCAATGGGCAGTTTCGAAGGGGTCGCTGTGTCCTGCTCTTGGTGAAGAAACTCTATTGAAGGTTGTGGAAAGAAGCCAATTGGTGGAACTGTATTGGCGCCAGTGGCAAAGGCGAGAATTGTCCCCAGCTTCTGTGTTCCCTCTTGATCTAGAAAAAGCAATACATCAAAAAGTTGATTTAAAAACACTGCATGCATCACTACTCTTAACTTATGTACAATGACAAGATGCAGTGCTTTATTGTTTTTTCTTAATTATTAATTAAGTGATTCAAGAACCGCTTAACCTTCTGCATCTGTTAGATAGTCTCTCCAGAAAGGAACAACGACTTCTTCAGCATGCCTCCTATTGCTACCAACTGGAGACAGATTGATGGTAAAGAGGCTGTCAACCAGGTCAGCGGTGAGCATTGTAGGAGACCAGCATAGAAGGGGGCGGAAACTCTCCGGATGACCTTTGATTTTGTCCAGCACACCAAGTGTCCTCAGTCCATCCCTGAATCTGAGTAAAAAAAAAAAATTAAAGTGTTGTGATTGGCGACTGAAGTTTTGACAAAAAAGTTTGTTTTTACCTATTCACATGTAGCAGATGAATTAATCAGAGAGGAATATATAAATGTAAAATTGTGAGTATTTGCTAAGGAATGAGTAAGGAGCAAATCTGTAATGACCAGATAATATATGAATTGTTAATAAGTAGTTTGTAGTCATTAGAAATTATTCACTTAGTAGACAATGATGATTTACTAGCAAACTGAGTAAAATATACTATATTAATGAATCAGGTAATGATAAATATCGGCGAATCGTCATGCTGACCACTTTCTTCATGAGTTATTCCTGATTAACTATGAACAAGCTGCTGAGCAGTACAAAACTATTAACTTACTTGTGCTCCCACAAGTAAGGTTATATATCATGAGTAGTTACTAAGTAATCCGTTATTAGTTTGTTATTATGACAAGTAGCTACAGAGTTCTTACTGGTGAATTTAAATACTCTGTAGGTAATCATTAAATGTCCAGTGTGTAGGATTTAGTGGCATCTAGATGTGTAGTTGCATATTGCAACTCACCTGCTTCCCCCTTCCGCTTCAAGAGTAAAGGAGAAACTGGTGGCCGCAAAATGTGTGAAACACAAGAGCGCCCCCTATGTAGAGGCACTGTTTGGTTCGTCTGTTCTGGGTTACTGTAGAAACATGGTGGTTCAACATGACAGGCTTGATGGAAAGATACTTGCGGAGTCCGTAAATTAAAGCAGCTCATTCTAAAGGTAAAAAACAAAACGGTTCTTATATTCAGGTGATTAAACAAAATGAAAACGTACCTACCTACCTACTGACCTATGAATATTATATTCCTTTTCTGCCAATAGATCCTTCTCAATCCTACACACTGGACCTTTAAGTAATTAGAGATTACTTAGTAACTACTTGTATCACCTTAGTTGAGGTTGAACAGAAAGTGTATCAGTGATTAAGCAATTAATTGTAAATTCCGCACTGCAGCTGAATCAGAGTTAAATATGTTTATTTAACAAACATTTATGAACTAATCATTACCTACTGATTCATTAATATAGTATCTTCATTAAGTAAAATTAAATAATTATCAGGTCAATTCAGGCTTTAGAGGACGGAAGGCATGGTCAAGCACACTATATACTACACACACAGAAATGGCCCATAGAAAACACACACACGGGAGTCTTCATGGGTTTCAGTTCCTTATTGAATTGGCTAAACATAGAGGATCACAATTTACCTCTCAAAAGGACCACGCACTCTGTGTAACACTTGGAACATCAGGATGTCATCTACAAGCAGATTCTTGTCTTCCAACCTCCGCAGTGGCCTCAGGCAGCCAGCATTGGCCAAATACTCCTCAAGTGGCTGTGTTGTTGCTAACAGATCTTCAAATGTTTTGCACTCTATGACCTTGCAAGAGATACATTAAACAACAAAATCTGAGTGCTGTAATTAAACCTCTTCACTAGCATAGAAACAGACATACATATACACATCAAATTCTTAAACTAAGAAAAAGTTACCCTTTTAATTTTTTCCTGCAACTCCCTATCGCAACATCTTCTAAAACTGGCGTAGCTAGTTCTGGGCCATCAACAAGGCAAGAGAAAAGAGTTGGGGACAGAAAGCCTGCAGGAGGACCGCCATGTACAAGGCTTACTGCGATGGCTCTGCCTGCAATGAAGTACCTGTCCTCTCTCATGGCTAGAGAAAATTAAATCATTATATTATTTGACAGTCCATGTGTAAAAACTCAACAACAACTTGTACCACCATATAAATTATATGATATTAATGTAAATGTAATAAGTGATTAATTGGAATTTGAGAGAACACATCAATGATATGAGATTATACCTAAAACATACCAGCAATGTCAAGAGCCAAGTTCATTTTGCCTTCTTCTCCTTCAAACATTGGAGATTGGGGCAAAGCTTCCATTAGTAGTCTTAGAAATTCTCTTCTTGGTCCACCTAAGTCAACAGCCTCTTCAGGTACTCCCATATCATCAGAAAACCTGACAGAAATAGTGTGACATGGATCGTATGTCCCTCGTTTAAAACCTCTGATGGCTCCATCCAGGACTGTGGATCTGTTAATGTTAAACTTGCTTTTCTTCTGATGGTTTATTTTTGTTGCAAGATCCTGCAAAATGTCACTCGCTGGCATCAAACATCCTGTGGTCCTTTTGAAACAAACAAGATAAATATAAGTTTGAATACATAAATGTCACATACAACTTATAGTATATTAGTAAGTATTTAATATTGTGAAATGTAAAGAAGTTGATATAAAATGATTTATAATATCATAATTTTGGACACAAAAAGCTCTACAGCGCAGAGGAATAAAATATATAAGGCTTTGGATACAGGTACAGTATTTGTAATCAGAAATTAGTTAATTGTTGGGTTGGCTCTGCATAAAACATTTGCATCATGTACTAACTTTTCACTCTCCAGGCTTGCTATTATAGCCAGGTTCAATTCCTCATCGTCAGAAGACGTTTAGAGGGCAGCCATTACTGAAAGGTAGTTCTCATAGTTTGCTGATTGATGGTGTGTTGAGGTATAGGCAGAACAATGACTTGCTGGAAGGCTGCTCTGGTAGGGTGAAGTTGAGATATCTTCGCAAGTCAGGACCAGAGTTGGATCAACTGTAGTTACTCCTCTTAATGATGAGGTGAAAGCTGACTGGTAGAAGGGCAGCTCTCCAGTGGACATACTGGCACCGGAGCAGAAGAACTGCTTGCTGAAATGCTGCTGCGGTTGGGAGATATACTGCTTTGGGAGGTCAAGAAGAAGTTTGAGTAAATATCCCTCCACACCCAAGTGAAGAGGGTAAAGGTTGAACTCCGAAGCACAGTTTGGTGGGGACACAGTCATTGGACTGGTGAAGTTCTCTGAAGATGCATATGAGGGTCTATCTTGTGGTAGAGATGAGGAGCGTAGCTGCCTTGCTGAACCAGTGATTTCCTCACAATTGTTGTCGCCACTGCTATAGCCTGCAATATCATCCTTGGAAAGACATGAGAAACATATCAGCATATATTTCAGATTTACTAAATGTCTACTGTAAACTGAATAGTACCTGGAAACACCAGATCTATATTTATTATACTTCTAAGAATGACTTTATATGGTTTGACATGATACACTAATGAAAATATACTAAAGGTCAGAGCTAACTGACAAGATTTGACCTTAATGCATGCATGTGTATGCACCACTTATTGGTTATTATTACAGTGGGTTTAATATTATTCTGCAATTGAATTCAATTATTTAACATACCAGAATTGGCTTTGATGGTCTGATGTATAGGGCTTTTGATCTATATATTTTATGTATGAGATTTGCATCCAACTTCTGTCCGGCACGCAGTTTAGGTGAAGTCAGTCTGTTGCCACATGCCATCAGAAACTCCAAGCTGAAAACAGCAGGTAAAATTGTAAAAGTTTCAAGAAAAAAATAGGCCCAAACAAACCTTTTTGCACAAGACAGTGAAACTGATCAGTCATGTTCCATTTCCTCTTTTGAGATGGACACAACCGAATTTATAATAAATAAAAGAATAATTCATGCCAGAATAATTCATGGCACTGCTAATTTCAGTTAGTCATTTATAACCACAGTTTGGACATAATAAAAACAAATATTAGTCCTTACCTTACAAAGAGAATTTCTCCAAAGGCATCCCTATTTGTTCAGTGACAGACAGTGCTCTGTCCCTGTTCATGTAACTGTTGCTTTGTGCAATGCCTGACGACAGCACTGCTCAATGGTTTTGGAAGAAGGATGACATCTTTGTTAAAAGTATCGTGATAATGTGATTTGGCCCTACAAAACAAAGCAGACATGTTATTTTTGGATCCTTTAACATTGCACTAATACTAGTACATACTATTATTTGATTCATTAATAACAAGCTGATGGATAAACAACAACGAGACATAGAAGGCTGCCCAAACAGCAGACTGCAATAAAACTACTTTAAATTAGGCATTGTCAATATCTTTACAGGGTTACATTAGTTAAATTAGTAACCCTCTACTGTCATTTAGGAATGAAAAAAATGTTCTGTATTTCTGGTCTACATTCCATTAAACATACTGCATGTTCTGACAATATTTTGATATGGACTGACTGAACCTGCTACTGCTGACAACTCTTCACTTTAGCCACGCAAGCTAGAATTAACATCAGCTCCACAGTTTGACACAAACTAATGGCTGACTAAAATGGCCGATATCATATGGCCAGACTCTGGCTCAAATTTTCAACTGCCATAACAGGACTAAATTTAAATTCCAGAACACTCAAAATACCAAAAGTTGCAGTTAGCAGTTTTGGTTATCGTCAACATTGGTTGATTATGCTGTTAAAAGATATATTATAATCTACTGAAAGATAAAATATGATGGAGCTGGGAGAGTGTCAGCCATGTCTCTCCTCACCTGCTCTATAATGCTCTATAATCTTACACATACCTTGATTTGCCCTTAGTTCAACTTAACGTTAAGTTGAACTATTAACTGAAAATGATAATACCTTAACCACAGCTGTCGTTAGGTTATGTAGCTACCGCTAACGTTAGACACATTATTATGAGATTACCAACTTAACCTAAGAGTGACACAGAGAATCATTTACACCCATTTTATACAAACGTTACTCAAAAGTACAAAACAGCCTTCGATGTTTTCTGTCATTTGAAGATTGTTTAATTGTCTTTATTGTTTTTACTACGGACATTTACGGGTTTTGCGAACATGTATTAACATACACATTGACTGCAGCCAAATTAGCAAACGAGCATTTGGGATTTACTACTTCCAGTTAAGTTACCATGTAACGCTACGTTTTTCTTACCTTTTCCTTTTCCGGGAGCCCCAGTTGCCAAAGTGTAGCTGTGTCTCATATCGTAAAGACTGCGACAGTCCTCCAGGTCGTCCTTGTGTAGCGCTAACGTTAGCTGCTTGGGCTGCGGAAGCGACTTGGGAGTTTCAAGGTCTGAAAAGTTCTCTCGTCTCATTTTCCGCCGCGCTGTGAGTAACGTTAGGTCCTGATGAGCTTGTCCTCCGCTGCTCAAGGGACGAGGACAACGATGTGACTGTTTCAGATGATGATAAAATAGTTCTTAATACCCCCAATGGCTTGCTGCAGTGCACGGGTCTCCTCTCTCCCTTCCATGTTAATCATGACCTGCACATGACCTCGCGCCAACTTATCAGCCAATCACAGCGCGATAAAATGGCCTGCCTTCCGTTTCCACTATTGTCCTTCCGTTTCATGTATACTTTGTCTCACACACGCATATATTCTTCTCACACATACATATATTCTTCTCACACACACATATATTTTCCTCTTACATACATATATAAAAATATATGAATGTGTGAGTGAAAATATATGAATGTGTGAGTGAAAATATATGAATGTGTGAGTGAAATATATGAATGTGAGAGTAAAAATATATGAATGTGTATGTGAAAATATATGAATGTGTGAGTGAAAATATATGTATTTGAGAGGGAAAATATATGAATGTGAAAGAAGAATATATGTATGTGAGAGGGAATATATATGTATGTGAAAGAAGAATATATGTATGTGAGAGGGAATATATGTGTATGTGAAAGAAGAATATATGTATGTGAGAGGGAATATATATGTATGTGAAAGAAGAATATATGTATGTGAGAGGGCCAGAATGAATAATGTCTTGTACGGCCCCTCATACATTCGTTTTACCTCATAGAGCGTCTTGTACATGCAGTTACTCTTTATCTATGTTCATCCACTCCTGCCCTCTGGGCTTTATTATACTTTTCTTATATTGTACTTCTCTTGCTTTTTATACAAATTTTGTAATAAAGGGACAGTTTTTCTATATACCAAACAAACATGGAAACATGGTGGTTCAACATGGCAGCCTTTGTAGAAGAGGACCTCTGTGAATAAAAACGTCTCCCACCTGGAGAAGCCATTCTGGGCTACTGTAGAAACACGGCGAACTCCATGGAAGAAGATCCACTCCCTCTGTAGATAAAAACTAATAATATCTAATGTAACAAAAACACGATTCTTATTTCCAGGTAATTACACGCTAATGCAAACATACCTTTGAATATTATATTTAGGGGTGCACGATAATTTTCGGGCCGATAACAGGAAATTATTACATCATTCAGATAAGTCCGATATCATGACGAATAGCCCCGATAACATAAATAATTTTGTCAGCACGGCAGTGCCCCGCTCTCACTATGAGACCTGAATGGCCTGCAGTGAATCCTGCGTTCAAGTGACGTTGGCATAATCAGAAAAACTCTTTCTGACTGGGAAAATTCAAGAATACCCCCTCATCGGAAAAAAACTTGTTAACTCTGTCATAATTTTGGTAGTTGCTGACTTGAATTGATATCCACAGTATTTTTCCACATGTTGCACATAAACAATAGAAACATGAACTTAATAAGGCCGAAAGAACTACCAAATGTGGGAACAGGGAATTTCCGTTACACCGTGAATGCAGCACAGCGTGCTTACGTTTGGAAACAGACAACACGGCGTCCACACTTTTACGAAGTTACTGAAGAAGACAGGTCGCTTGTTATTTGTAACAAACTAGTGCAGTGCCCGTAGGAAGTATGTATCGCTATAGAAAAGTGGGAGGTTAAGTAGCTTTTTCATGGATGGCCAAATGAGGTTGCGTTTGAAGGTGTAGCAGCTAGCTACAGACGAACATCCACAGATTCCGATTCCAGTTTGTTGTCCTCGCGTATCCGGATCTCCTCAGACCGGAACAGACTCGGTCCGGACTCGTTCAGTGTCAGTAATCCACAACAGTCCGTTTAGATGCACAGAACGGGCCCAAACAGCCGGCAAAACCCGCTGCAGGTATAACATTAGATCAGCCTGTTTCTTAAGGTGTGTCGTTGGGGTGGGCCCTGGTGGCTATGGTTGACAATTCTCTCTCTCTCTCTCTCTCTCTCTCTCTCTCTCTCTCTCTCTCTCTCAAACAGCTGAACCTCATTTACTTTAGTTAAAAGGTATTCATTTGAATGGAACCATTAGCCAAAATCATTCAAACTTAATTTTTGTTACTATGGAATGCACTTTTTCAGTTTGTTTACACAGACAAGTGTAACTTGTGTCATTATGCACATTTTATTTATTGTTATTGAGGAATGCATTTTTCAGATTGCGTTTACATAGAAATGTTTAAATCTAACTTGTGTCAGTGCATCAATTTTCCATATATATTTATTTTTTTGAACTTCTGGAATACACTTTTTCAGTTTGTAATCCTGCTGCATGTATTTGCATCAGTTCAAGGGGCCTTTTTTTTGAAATAATGGAATGATGATGATGTATGATGATGATAATGAATAAATAACATTTAAATTTAAACATTTAAAAACAAAAGACAAACAAAAAAATGTTTTTGGGTTTGTTCATTGTATTAATGTCATGATCTTAGGTCATGATCATATATATTATGTATATGTGTGTGTTATCAGTTATCGGTATCGGCCTTTAGGAGCTGAAAGTTATCGGTTATCGGTATCGGTTTAAAAAAAAAAGTTAGCGTGCATCCCTAATTATATTCCATTTCTGGCAATAGCTTCTCCTAAATGGACCTTTAATACAGTAAATGGTAAATGGACCTGTACTTGTATAGCGCTTTTCTAGTCTTCCAACCACTCAAAGCGCTTTTACAATACATGTCAACACAAGTATAATTATAATTCTATATATTAGTCTGGTTTACACATAGGCTACTGACTGTTGACTCTATTGCTATAAATCACACCACTGTCACTTTACCTTGTAATATTGTCTCGCCGCTATAGTTCTACTTTAATTCTTTTCTTATTTAAGTTGTGTATACCTATTATTATTTAAATCTTTTACTGTCTGTATCTGTACTTATTGCTGTCCTTGCGCTGCTGTAATAACCACATATCCTTGCTGAGGATCAGTGAAGGTTTATTTTGTCTTTTTTTTTTGTTTAAGACGGTTCATTTGTCTTTACAGTCTTTACAGTCACCTGTAATAATGACATGACATCATTATGTCCATGTGGAACTTCAAGGAATTAGGTCAGTGAGAAGCTCAAAATGGTTTCAGCTCTTTCTAAATGTGCGATGAGCTCAGTAACTCAATTACTGTCTGTGTTATCACAAGGTATTCCCACTGCTTTTAATAAACCTTGCTTTGTGCTTCTAACAATAGGCCCAGGGCTAAGTAAACATACAGTATCAGTGTGCCTGAGATCTTCTGAGGTGTGATGACTGAACAGCTTAGTTCTTGCCTTTGTTTTTCCCTGACAGTATCTGAGCCGACAGCTATGTAAAGGACTGACCTGTGAAATGTTCATTTAACTCTAAGAAGAAGACTAAACTTTCAGTTCTTATAGTTGTCTTATAGTTGTTCTTTTTCCACATTACCTTAATACATTTTAAATGTTGTAGTAAGTGTACTATTTTAGGGCATTATGGTGTTTCTTTTTTACTTGACACATATAGTAGAAAATCCTTGTGTTCTGTAATCTGCTACATTTAATAGTATAAGAGTCAGCCCCTCACTACTGATCTAAATCATACGTTCATCGTTTCAAAACAACTGTCATTTTTCAAACTCGAACTTTTAAGTTTTAAAATAAACAAAAAAAAAGTTTTGCCAACCTATAACCTTTTGTTGAGATAACTTTTTCTTTAGAAAAAGTACCTATCAAAAGTGGTCCAAGGAAGGAAAAGAACCGGAGACAGGGTCATGGGGGGCCAAGGCTCATTGATGCACGTGGGGAGTGAAGGCTGGCCAGTGTGGTCTGATCCAACAGACGAGCTACTGTAGCTCAAATTGCTGAAACAGTTAATGCTGGTTCTGATAGAAAGGTGTCAGAACACACAATGCATCAAGGTTTGTTGGTATGGGGCTGCAGAACATTCTGACCACCAGGGTGCCCAGCTGCTCAGAATGATCAGTGTATACACGTATATATGGAGTCCCCTATGTTGAACCGCTATGTTTCTAAAGTATCCCAGAACTGAAAAACCAAACTCTGGCTGTAGATAGAGCTGCAACAATTATTTGATTAATTGATTAGTTTGCAACTGTTTAATTAATCACCAACTAATTTGATAATTGACGCAGGGTGTGAACTACAGGGGAACCAGGGGCAGCTTAATGGACATGGAAAACATGATTTGTGAAATTTTGTGTGGTCCCTAAAATATTGACAATATGCCATTGTTGCCATGTATTTCTCCCCTTTCTCTCCCTGGTTCGCACACTGAATTGATGGTGTCATTTTGTTAAGGAAAAATGTCACAATTCTCTGACTTCAGCTTCTCACATTTGAGGATGACACCTTGGGCTCTGGGAAACACTGACTAACATTTTTCACCATTTTCTGACAATTTATTAATTAATTGATTAGGGTCTGTTTCTCCTACATGTTTAAAATGAAGCACCTGTTGAGGTCTGAGTGATCCAAATACCATGAACTCCCAGTATATAGGATTGGAAAAAAATTTGAATTGTTGTTGTAGTTTTCCCTACACTAGATTCTAAAGAGCCAGAATATACTGACAGCATCCTTAAGGCAGGTTTCAAAACTCTCCTGGTTCATTTTTCATATTCTACTCAAATTAATTGGGGAAGGTAAGAAATCAACCTAACCACATTGCATTCTAAATTAAGATAAAGACACAGAACTCCTGGTATGGTCGTTTAAGATGCTGTGCTGTTCAAACCGAATAGTGTATGTGGATATGGTGAGTGCCATGACGGATTATGTTTGGTATTTTCCACAATAATTTATGCCTCTTTCGTCATTGATGTCTTTGTTTCGCTCTCATAAATTCCAGGAAATACAATCCAAAGTGGTGAATGTGGTATGCAAACAGAGAGGCGGGGACGGGATGTTAACCTCATTCTTAACATTTATAAAGAAGGAATTCAAATTTTTCAAACTCCCCTTTTCCAGGACCCCATAGTGAAACATAAGAGGACTAAAAAGAAAAAATAAGAAACAGCACAGGTAAACTATGTCAAGAATATGTGGGAATAAGGTGCACACTGTCCAGTTTGTGGTCCGGAATATAACACATACACTGGTCAAAAATGAACTATGACATAATGCTCTCTCCTGCACTGGAAAAAGGGCCCAGACCATGAGGTCCAATGGAATAATCACTCCCCAATCCAATCCAGATGTGCTTTTATTATTACTATCAGCTCCAGAGGTATTAATTCAAGAGAACAGAGGCCATTTGGAGAGACACATGGTTTCCCTTATCCACGACTATTCTCCCCGCCTGTATCATTTTGGGCCAAAACACACAGGCTCAGAGTCGTCTCTAAACATGACTGACTCTGGCGATCTCTCTGAAGTCCAGGTTCTCAGGAACATGATGAACTCTGATAATATTATGGAACCTCTGGCCCTGCATGGCTCTCTCACGACAGGCCAAGTGATACATCATTGAGTCCAAGCAGGAACACAGGACTGACAGAGAGGAAGAGGATAGACCATTCAAGTACAACTTCAGCATTGGTACTAGGAAAATGTCTTATCACAATTATCTTGGTCAAAATAATTGCAATGCATGATAGTGTCCTGATTATCATGAAACTACTGGAATCCTTTTACCTTATATTTAGTTAAAAATACACACTTATTGCATCAGAGACAGGAACCTCATCTCCCTGTTCTATATTTTGGAATCAATTTCCATACATCCTGTTTTTTTTTTTCATAATAGAGATACAACAGGCAAGCCGAGCCTTCAGCCATGATGACAGGCTTAGGATTTTGAACTGACTGGAAAGATGTAGACTCCCCCTTGTCCCTTTGTTCAAAATGAATCAGGAAATCAATATGGGACTGTGTCCTGGAGAGCCAGACAGCTTTTTCAAGTTAAGCTGTGAGAGAACGTTCATCATTATCACGATAATTAAAATTCACCACAATAAATGTATCTGAGTGTTTTTATCACGATACGCGATAATATTGTATATCATCCCATCCCTAATGTATACTTTAATAGCTGTGTTGGCATTTTGAGCTAGCTGCTCTATCTAATGTGTACAGAGGTAATACTGAAACGACAAAAAGCAGTGAACTGCTGCCACAATGAGGAATGATTTTATTTATTGGGATGCCATTAATGAACAATTTTTAGTAATTAAACATTATACCAGTATTTTCTATAATACAAACAAGTTTTAGCTTTATGCCACAATTGACATGCCAGACTCTGAACAATGGACTGTCTGATACTGTAAAGCTACCAAATGGTTGCACACCCCAACTGGATCTGACACAGAAAGTCATCTGAAATACATACAAATAAAAAATGTAGGTTATATAAAATGCTACTTTGCACACAAGGTACATATATCTCATAATTTAAAACAGGTACAGTGTAATAAATTTGCTGATTATAACAGTTTTGTAAAACGACAAATATTCATGGGACAGGATGAATGATTAGTTTTTATGCATCTGTCTGTGATAATTTTTGTAATATTACGTAAATGAAAGAAGGCAGTCCTAGAGGTCTGCTTCATGTGGGGATTAAATGACAAATCCTGATCAAAGATAACTCCAAGATTCCTGACAGTGGTGCTAGAGGCCAAGGTAATGCCATCTAGAGTAACTATATCTTTAGACAGTGAGTCTGTAAGGTTTTTGGGGCCAAGTACAAGAATTTCGTTTTTTTTCTGAGTTTAACATCAGAAAATTGCAGCTCATCCAGGATTTTATGTCCTTAACACATGTTTGTAATTTAGATAATTGATTAATTTCATCGGGCTTGATTGATAGATATAACTGCGTATCATCTGCATAACAGTGAAAGTTAATTGAGTGATTCCTAAAGGGGTTTATAAAGAAAAAAATTTTGGTCCAAAAAAAAACAAAAATTTTTTTAAAAAATTAAAAAAAAAAAAAAAAAAAAAAAAATAATTTGATGCTTCTTTTTTGTAACCAAAAAAGACCTGTCCCTCTGTCCTCGCATTAATTATCGAGGGCTTAACGACATCACCATTAAGAATAAGTACCCTCTCCCTCTCCCTCTCATTGATCTGGCTTTTGAACCCCTTATTAAGGCTACAGTGTTCACGAAATTAGACCTCCGGAACGCGTACCATCTTGTCAGGATCAGAGAGGGAGACGAGTGGGAAACTGCCTTTAACACCCCCTTAGGCCACTTCGAATAGGAGGAACACGTTCAGCATGTCCAGCAGGTACTCCAGAGACTCTTTGAGAACAAGCTCTATGTTAAGGCCGAGAAATGCAAGTTTAACGTGACATCCGTGACTTTCCTGGGGTTTATTATCGAGCAGGGGCAGGTTAAAGCAGATCCTGCCAAGATTCAGGCCGTGGCTGATTGGCCTAGACCAGCCACTCGCAAACAATTGCAGCGCTTCCTGGGGTTTGCTAACTTTTACCATCGCTTTATTAGAAACTATAGCAAGGTAGCAGCCCCCCTGACTAAGCTCACCTCAGTGAAAGCCCCGTTCGCCTGGCCCCCTGAAGCAGAAACGGCTTTTCTAGCCCTGAAAGAGCTGTTTACTTCTGCCCCGGTGCTGCATAATCCAGACCCCTCCCTCCAGTTCATGGTGGAGGTGGATGCCTCGGGCACTGGCATTGGGGCAGTACTCTCCCAGCGATTCCCCAAGGACCACAAGCTGCACCCTTGTGCTTTCCTCTCCAGATGCCTGTCCCCTGCGGAGAGGAACCACTATGTTGGGAATCGAGAGCTGCTGGCGGTGGTGGTAGCCCTTCAGGAGTGGAGGCATTGGCTGGAGGGCGCTGCCTTCCTGTTCGTCGTGTGGACGGATCATAAAAACCTGGCGTACCTCCGCTCAGCTAAAAGGCTCAACTCCCGCCAGGCCTGGTGGGCTTTATTCCTGGATCGTTTTGTTTTCACCCTCACCTACCGACCTGGGTCCCGCAATGCCAAGCTTGATGCTCTATCACGCCAAGCTGACCCAGAGATGCCAGAGACTGAACCAGAGACCATCCTCCCAGCTTCTCGTGTGGTGGCAGCAGTAAATTGGCGAATAGAGGTGCTGGTGAAGCAGGCACATTTCTTCCATGGATTGAATATGCACATAACTCCCTCACCTGCGCTGCCACAGGTATGTCCCCGTTCATGACGACTTATGGTTTTCAACCTCCTTTGTTCCCCTCTCAGGAAGGGGAGGTGGTGGTCCTGTCAGTTCAGGACCACCTGTGCCATTGCCGCCGGATTTGGACTGAGGCTCGTGCCGCCCTGCTATGGACAACGGCTAGAAACCAACGCCTGGCGGACCGCCACCAACTCCCTGCCCCGGATTACACCCCTGGTCAGAAGGTATGGCTGTCTTCTCGAGACCTGCCTTCGCAGGTAGAGTCTCGAAAGCTGGCTCCGAGATTTATTGGACCTTTTGAAGTGGACAAGATCATAAATCCTGTGGCTGTGAGATTAAAGCTCCCTACGTCGTTACATGTGCATCCTGTGTTTCACGTATCACTCCTGAAGCCGGTCTCCTCCAGCCCTCTGAGCCCTCCGGCCGACCCCCCTCCGCCCCCCCGGCTCATCGACGACCACCCAGCCTACACAGTTCGCCAGATCGTGGACGTCCGACGGCGGGGCCAGGGTTTCCAGTATCTGGTGGATTGGAAAGGGTACGGACCGGAGGAGCGCTCTTGGGTTCCCCGGGGCTTCATCCTGGACTCCTCTCGTCTGTCTGACTTCTACCGATCCCATCCTGACAAGCCCGGTAGGCCGCCAGGAGGCGTCCGTTCAGGGGGGGGGGGGGGCTACTGTCATGGCTCTGCTCCCTTTGCTCCTCCTCCTTCCCTGTGTGTGTCTGAGGGTGCGGCCTCCACTCACCTCACCTGTGCGCTGCCTCACCTGCCTTCAAGAACCCCGGTCATCCTTTCATTCGTCGCCAGATTGTTGTTCAGCCAACTTTGTGGTAACTTTTGTGGTCCCTTTCAGTGCTTAGCTTACTACTAAGTCTACTTGTGATTTTCCTGCGCCTGCTCCTCAGTTAACCTTTTCTCTCCTGTGCTCCAGGGTCCCTCTTGTGCAGTGCAGTTTCCTGAGTCAGCTCACCTGTGCCTCCGTGATTCCAGTGTCTTTTGCCATTTCACCTGCCTGTACCTGCTCTGGCCGCCCCTCGTCCCTCCCTGTGTGTGCGTGTGGAATAAAGCTCCATTAAACCGCCCATCCTGTCCGAGTGTCTGCTCCTGGGTCTGGTCAAAACACTAGCCGTGATAAGCAGGCAAACATTAAAATGCAATTTGCAGCAATGAGCCGATTTCAGAATGTTATCGGAGCGATCGACAACACTCACATTGCCAGCATTGATAAATGTTGTGGCATGGTGGCCTGGCTCTACTCACTCATCCTGCGAAGTACTAGTGTCCCTCGTGCTGAACTTTCCAGTTTCCATATTACAATATATCAAAATAAAATGGCATTACATTGCATATATCAGTGAGTCGAGTCTGCTTATTGTGGTTATATTGGATAGAAACATTGACATGTATAGTTTGTAACTGTCTGTTAATTCAGCTGCAAGGTATGAGTTAATATTTGTTTCATGTACCAGGAATAACACACACGTCAGAGTCACACTCACATGGCAGGATGCCAGAGATGAGGGTTTCACCAATTATTCCAGCCACCCTTTCTTTCTGTGGTGTGAGTGCTGGCTGTCCTGAGCCCCCACCTGTAGTAGCCACACTCTGCCGATGTGCCATCACTCATCCATGGGACTCTCAATTGTCAAGTTAGTAAATGAGCAGAGAAGTCTAAATAGTACTGGATAAATGGTCGAAAAATTATCTAAAATGAACAAATTAAATTGAACATGATTGGTGGTGATGAAGGGGAATTGGAGTTCATCAGGACTATGGGGGTACATCTGAAACAAAGGTTGGGAACCACTGAGCTCAATCATTGGGGAACACTGTCTGTCTCTTGAAGAGCTTCCAGGCAAACATGTTTTTCACTGACCCTGTATAGGCACAGTGTAGTGTGTTTTCCCTTGTGAGTGCCCTGACCACATTCCTGTTTTTGTTGGCACAAGCACTCGTATGCATATTTCATTATCTGTGTTACTACAACTACCCCAGCTGGTGTCACTGTATCGGTGGGTTTCCGCCCAATTGGGCTGCTTTTGATTATGCTGGATGGGTAGAAAAGTAGCTGATAGATGAAATTTGGGCTGCTTTGTCAATGTTTGGCAGGTAACCCTAACCCCGCTCCTCTTCTGCCTTAGAGGTTTTGTTGGCGCTTTGATTACTGGGTACATCTAAAAAAATATCTATTAATTACCATGGTTAATATGTATATCTCAGACGTGGTATCTTGTGAATTGGTTCTTCTGACTTTCTGACTGCTGTAGCGCTCACTGGCTCTCTCAGGCTGGCTCTGTCCTGTGCTGGCAGGTCCGGGGCTGCTAGTTTGTTGGCTGTTTGAAAGTTGGCTCTGACTGCTGAGCTTCAATGCTTACTTTAGCATTGGGACATACTGTCGGACCTATTTTTATTTGACAAAATTCGACCTGTGTTTGACTTTTTTCTACTAAATGTTACAAAAAAATTAATTTAACCATTATGTCCCTAACTTGGCTATTAATATATCACAAAGCTACAGTTGATATCTATGGTCTGGTCTGATTGAAGGCTGCTTTTGGATATGCAAAAAGTAAATACAGAGGGGCCAACCTTGTCTTCTAGAGAAATTACATTTGAATATTACTAAATTATTTTCATAATTATGTGTTTAAAGACAATTTTTTAAAAAACACTGCATTTATATAACACGGTGGAGTTGCAAGGAGGGGGTTTGGGTGAGTGGTTGGCGTGCAAAGTGCAGGGCTGTCAAACCACTGTCCAGAGCTTGAGTGCTACTTAAGTTCAGTCAGACAACTCATGTTTGAAATGTTTATTACAGCAGTATAGCATATTTAGATTTTGGCGTCTAGGCTCCGACCTCATCACTCCCCGCAGATATGTTTATATAGAGATATTGGGGAGTGATGAAGAAATACCTTAAACCCCTATCCGGAGCCTACAGGTGGGTGCTGGGGTGGTGGTGAGGCTTACGGCACAGTAGGCAGCAATAGCTTACAGAGCAGCAGCGGCAATATGGATGCAGGGCAACAGCGACATTGACAGAGCAGAGGGAGAGCTGGGAAATTTTGCAGTTTAAATAGACCGCCAGATTGGAAGGGTGCGCTTGGTTAGTGATTATGGAGTGAGGCATGTCATGTGTCAGGTTAGGGTAAGATCTTGATTTTAGTTAAATGTCCATAAAACACACAATTGTGTCTCAAGCAAGAGCATTTCCATACTTTTTTGACTCGGCCAAGTGGATCACTGACTTATGCAGGGGTGGCATGAAGTATGTGTCTCAGCTTTCAAGTCATTCCCAATTTATGAAATTCCAACACTGTGTACGGAATCCAGTATGCAGAAATATTCAAATACACTAGGTGAAAATAACACATTTATACCACATGCAAAAAACTGCACCTTTTTGCCTCAAAACAGCATAAGTATTAATAAAAGCGGGCATGTCTGCAAAGGGAACCCATTTCAAGAGACCCCTTTGAAAATAGCCATAGCAGTTTTATACCCTGTCACCTGCTCTCTGTGGCCAATCAGGGAGAGTCTGTGTGATAAGTGCCACTTTGGCCCAGGGGACTTCAATCTACCCTAATTTGACAAAATAATCACATTTACTCTCTAATAGGCATAATTAAACATACATATTATTCAGTTAACATTATTAAGTTGAACCAGTAAACTTTCTTTCTTTAAAACTGACTGACATTACAGCAGAGAACAATACCCACAAGACAAATTAAAGGGAAGGTAAACTTCTTCTTAAAGGGTCAAGCAGGTCAGGGAACACAGAGAACCTGTGTGAGCACAAATACTGAACACAAGTCAACAAGCATGTTTCAAACATTACAACGTCACAGCTCATAAATGTGGTTCAAATGAGCGAAAGGAATGTGCACCTTTCTTTCAGCATACATACCAACATTTACTTTAAAAAATTCAACTTTGGGAATGGAGAAATAGTCGGCTCCATGACATGTATTTTAGTGGAAAACAAATTAAATACATTGTTTAAGGATTTGTTGAATATCAAAATTTTTGCAACAACATTTCCCTGTTAAGTTAATATGTCATTTACTTTGCATTATATTTCCCTCTAAACATATTTGCTGTTGCAAAAGAGGCTTAATTTCTCCAATCGCTCCCAAAAATAATCATTGGATCAGATCACTAAGTTAACATTCTCAAACCCCACGTTTCAGTGTTTACAACTTTGTTGTAGCCTATTTGGAAAAAAGTGATTCTGCCTTTAATCTTTAAAACAACAGGAAGAACCAATAAAGTCAAATTGGTCTATTTATGTGGTGGCACACTGCTACAGAATAACGCAGGAAAGTGATACTCATTAGTTGCAGCTGTGCCATTCAGGTCAGAAATGGTTAGTAATCCTTGAACAACATGGCAAGAAACACTTCTAGTTTCCTGATAATATTTATTTTATCAGTTCTTGTGCGTTAAGAGTAAAGAGAGAGATTCAATATGGTAGTTGTATGTGAGGTCCGTCCACTGTGATAGAGGCAGACTGAAAGGACACTGATCGGCAATGACACAACATGATGGTTTTCCTTGCTGGCCTTAGGATTTTGGCTCATAATAGCTAAAAATCAATCCGATATTCTTATTTTATGGTATTACATTGGCAAAGACCTCAGGCTGGGGGTTTGACGCAAGGCCAAAGTACCCGGCTGGGTATATAGTAAAATATAAATAAAAAGATCATCACATCTGGCAGGGAATAGCCATCCATAACCAAGCCCTTTTTCTGTCAGTAATCTAGTTTTGTGTTTGCATTTAGACTTGCAGTTATACTGATGATACAACATACAACAGTTTGCTGAACACAAGTACAAGGACATCAGACAGCGAGATAGAGGGAGGGAGATCATTTACGGTAACTTATAGTGACCTAGCTGAGAGCAGTATGTGGGTGTGTCTGAATTCCACCACTCTGCTTTGTTTCTCTAGTTAGAGAAAGAAAAACAAGGGAATAATGTTTCAAATAATACCAAGCCGGGCGATATCCAATGAAGGGTCAATATTTGACAGGAATGTGATGTTTAAATCACATAAGCCATGGAAATACAATACAGTCCACTGGTAAAAAGGAAGGTGTTCAGACAAATGGTTTTAGTCACTTCATGTAACTTTTCTAAAATAAAAAATAAAATTGTCTTAAAGGATTTCTTCACGTCCCGAGGATTGGATTTCCTCAGTGTGACTGAGACATGGCTGAGTGTTGGTGAATCCAGCGCTTTCACTGAACTTTTACCCCATGATTGCTGCTACTTTAACTCCCCGCGGACGTCGGGCCAAGGAGGAGGAATAGCGACCGTCTATAAGAGTCATTACAAATGTAAGCAGCTATTGCTGTCAATCCTCTTTCACCAGCTTTGAACTGAGCTTATTTGAGCTTGGTCGCTCTCACACAGTGTTGTGTGCTGTGGTCTATCGGCCTCCCAAATACAATAAGGACTTTTTAAATGACTTTTCTGATTTCCTGGCTGAAATCATGCCTAGATATGACCGTGTTCTTATTGTTGGGGATTTTAATGTTCATGTGTGTTGTCCAGATAAGCCAATGGCAAAGGGTTTTTTAAACCTCATTGATTCTTTTAATCTTGTGCAATCTGTGTCTGGACCCACACAGGAACACGGACACACACTTGATCTTGTCTTATCATATGGTTTGCCCATTTTTAAGCTAGAGATATGTGACGCAGTGTTTTCTGACCATATGCCTGTATTATTTGAGGCTGCTCTTGCCTGTCATACAGTTAAACCTTGCGCTGCTGCTCGACGCTGTCGCATTATTAACCCTTCCACTGCTGTTCAGTTCTCCGTTGCTTTCAATCAGAACTCCATCTTACCTGAGTCTGTGTGCAATACAGAGGTGCTTAGCTCATGGTTTCACTCCACCTGCCAAACTGTTTTAGACACTGTGGCTCCATTAAAATCCAGGCAGCCTAAAACTAAATCTGAGCCCTGGCTAAATGACACGACTCATGCGGTCAGACGTGAGTGCCGTAGAGCTGCGCGCAAGTGGAAGAAGGACAAACTGCAGGTGTCTTTTCAGATGTTAAGGGCCTGCTGGCGTCATTATCAGAAAACTGTGAAAGATGCTAAAAGAAAACATTTCTCGGATGTTATCCTGTCAAACTGTCAAAAGCCTCGTGTTTTGTTTAACACTATTGACTTACTTCTGAATGCCCCGCAGACTGCCTGTATGGAGGCGTCCCCTGCTGTGTGTGAAAACTTCCTTCACTTTTTTATTGATAAGGTCACTTCAATTAGGGCTCAAATCTCACCTTCAGCTTATGACCCCTCAATCTCTGTCCCCTGCTCTGCTGTCTTTGACCATTTTGAGCCTGTGACTTTTTCCTTTTTACAGGAGGCCCTCAGGTTCTCCAAATGATGCTGTCACCCCTCGACTATTTAGGAGGTTTTCCCCACTGTAGGACCATCTGTTATTACAGTCATAAATAGCAGTCTGACCGCTTATTTATCCCTGAAAATTTTAAACATGCAGTAGTACAACCTCTGATTAAAAAACCTGCTCTAGATCCTGCAGTTCTTGTTAATTTCAGGCCTATCTCCAAACTGCCTTTCCTTTCAAAAATCCTGGAGAAGTTGTGCACAGTCAATTAATGGCCTTTCTGGAAGAACATAATATCCTAGAGGTTTTCCAATCCGGTTTTAAAACCCTGCACAGCACCGAATCAGCTCTCTTAAGAGTTTTTAATGATATCTTTTTAGCTACTGACTCGGTGACTGTGTTATCCTTGTGCTTTTAGATTTAACTGCTGCATTTGACACAGTGGATCATGAAATATTGATCTCACGTTTGAAGCAGTGGTCCCACAGGGCTCAGTTCTTGCCCCTCTCCTTTTCTCTCTCTATTTGCTCCCACTTGGTTCCATACTTAGGCACAGCTTTTCATTCCACCGTTATGCAGACGACAGTCAGATTTATGTGCCTCTTAAAAAGAAAAATTATTACTCTGTCAGACTGCTACTTAAGTGTCTCGATGACATAAAGGCCTGGATGGCTCTGAACTTTTTCAATTTCAATGATAAAAAGATGGAAGTGATGGTTTTTGGTGGCACCACTGGGACACCCCTGTAGATCTGGGTTCCTCGGCCCAGTATATTAAACCTAGCATCACAAACCTAGGGGTTAAAGTGGACCCTGAGCTTAAGTTTGACAGTCAGATCAAGGCTGTTGTCAAATCAAGCTTTTTTCCATTTGAGGCAGCTGGCCAAAATAAAGCCAATTCTATCAAGGCAGCCCTTTGAGACGTTAATCGACGCCTTTGTTACCACTCAGCTGGATTACTGTAATGCACTGTGTGTAGGGGTTAGTGGGTCCTCCATCGCACGTCTCCAGATGGTACAGAATGCTGCTGCACGTCTTTTAACTGGCACACGTAAACATACATTTCCCCCATTTTAGCCTCACTCCACTGGCTGCCTGTTCAATTTAGGATCCATTTTAAAATTATTTTATTTGCTTTTAAATCCCTGAATTGTCTTGCCCCGCCCTACCTCTCTGAGCTTCTAAACCCTATATACCCGTCCACTCTCTCAGGTCATGTGATCAGCTGCTCCTGAGTGTGCCTAAAACTAAGTGGAAGCTCAGAGGGGACTGTGCCTTTGCTGTGTCTGCTCCTAAATTATGGAATGATCTGCCTCTGCACGTTAAACAGGCCTCTTCTCTGTCTGTTTTTAAAACCCGTCTTAAAACCCATCTCTTCTCTGTGGCCTTTGACACCTAGTAAGATGTCAACTTTATTTTCTTGATATAATTTCTTATTTCGATTGCTCTTCATTTTATTGTTGTATTTTATATGTAATTTTTGCACCTCATGTGAGCTGTTATGTCTTTTATTTATGATGTCTTATTTATTCTCCTGTGCAGCACTTTGGTTGTTTTAAGTGCTTAACAAATAAAGTTGGATTGGTTTGGATTGGATAATACATATTCTATCATTGTGGATTTGTGATTCATCTTCATGGTAAATTTCCTGAGTAACATATTAACCTCCACTGCTCACTTTCTAATTTTTAAGGCAAAGGGAACAAATGTTAACTCCTTGAATGTTCTAATTATTATAGCCCGTGTTATATTTTATTATTTTCTTCATTTTATATTTAATAAATTAAGGTTCTAAAGAAAATTATGATTATGATTATTATATTGAATACATATTGTTTGTTTATAACTAATTCAATTCAATTCAATTTTATTTGTATAGAGCCAATTCATAACAGAAGTTATCTCGGGACACTTTTCAAATAGAGCAGGGCTAGGCCGAACTCTTTATAACATTATTTACAGAGACCCAACAGTACCACCATGAGCAAGCACTTGGCGACAAGGGCAAGGAAAAACTGCCTGTTAAAAGGCAGAAACCTAGGACAGATCCTTCGGCTCTAGGTGGGTGGTCGTCTGTCTCGACCAGCTGGGGTGAAAGAGAGAGAGAGAGAGAGAGAGAGAGACAGACAGATAGACAGACAGACAGACGTGCACAGCAACAACAGTAGCAACAACTTCACTAATAGTAGTGACTGATGATGATGAACATGACAACAGCAACGATGGGGGACAATGAGCAGTGACAACAGCAACAACAGTAACCGTATCTATAATAATACTTTATAATAATAAAAACACTAATATCAGTGATATTGGCAAGTGTAGTCAAGCAGGACCATGGCAGGAGGCTCCACCAGGATCCATGAGAACCTGCGAGACGAGAAAGCACAAGAACACCGGGGAAGAAGTTAAGTTAGTAACATGCATTAATGGGACATGAATGAGTGCAGAAAGAGAGAAAGAGAGAGGAAGAGAGGAGCACAGTGCATCATGGGAAATCCCCCGATAGTCTAGGCCTATAGCAGCATAACTAAGGGATGGTTCAGGACTCACCTGATCCAGCCCTAACTATAAGCTTTATCAAAGAGGACTGTCTTAAGCCGACTCTTGAATGTGGAGAGGGTGTCTGCCTCCCGAACCTCAACTGGAAGCTGGTTCCACAGGAGAGGAGCTTGGTAACTGAAAGCTCTGGCTCCTGTTCTACTTTTTGAGACTATAAGAACCACAAGTAGCCCAGCATTCAGAGAACGTAGTGTTCTAGTGGGGTAATAGGGTACTATGAGCTCTTTAAGATATGAAGGGGCCTGACCATGAAGAGCTTTATAGGTGAGGAGGAGAATTTTAAATTCTATTCTAAATTCTGCAGGGAGCCAGTGCAGAGAAGCTAGTACAGGAGAGATGTGATCTCTTTGTCTAGTTCCTGTCAGTACTCGTGCTGCAGCGTTTTGAATTAATTGGAGCGTTTTAATGGACTTATTGGGGCAGCCTAATAATAAAGAATTGCAGTAATCCAGCCTAGAAGTAACAAATGCATGGATTAGTTTTTCTGCATCCGTCTGTGATAGGATGTGTCTAATTTTTGTAATATTACGTAAATGAAAGAAGGCAGTCCTAGAGGTCTGCTTCATGTGGGACTTAAATGACAAATCCTGATCAAAGATAACTCCAAGATTCCTGACAGTGGTGCTAGAGGCCAAGGTAATGCCATCTAGAGTAACTATATCTTTAGACAGTGAGTCTCTAAGATTTTTGGGGCCAAGTACAAGAATTTAGTTTTTTTAAGTTTAACATCAGAAAATTGCAGCTCATCCAGGATTTTATGTCCTTAAGACATGTTGGTAATTTACATAATTGATTAATTTCATCGGGCTTGATTGATAGATATAACTGCGTATCATCTGCATAACAGTGGAAGTTAATGGAGTGATTCCTAATAATTTTGCCTAAAGGGAGCATATATAAAGTAAATAGTATTGGTCCAAGTAAAGAACCTTGTGGAACTCCATGACTAACGGTAGTATTTATTGAAGATTCATCGTTAATGTACAAACTGAGAACTATCTGATAAATATGACTTAAACCAGCTTAGTATGGTTCCTTTAATGCCAATTTGATGCTCAAGTCTCTGTAAAAGAATATTATGGTCAATGTACAGAGACAAAGTCCATTGTCAGAAGCAATCAAAAGGTCATTATTAACTTTAACCAGAGCTGTCTCTGTGCTGTGATGAACTCTAAATCCTGACTGAAAATCCTCAAATAAACTATTGTTATGTAAAAAGTCACACAACTCTCTGGCGACTACTTTCTCCAGAATCTTAGAGAGGAAGGGGAGGTTAGAGATTGGTCTATAGTTGGCTAAAACCCCTGGGTCAAGAGTGGGCTTTTTAAGAAGGGGTTTAATTACAGCTACTTTAAAGGACTGTGATACATATCCTGATAATAAAGAAAGATTAATCATATCCACTAAAGAAGTGCCAATTAAGGGTACGAGTTCTTTAAGCAGCCTAGTTGGGATCGGGCCTAACAGACAGGTTGATGGCTTCGATGTAGAAATTATTGAAGTTAACTGAAGAAGATCGGTAGCAGAAAAACAGTCTAAATATGTAATCTGTTCTGTATAGATCTACTAATTCTGACAGGAGTAACTGTTTTAAAGAGAGGACTTTAATGGTAGCACACTGTTTTCATTTACTGTTCTGTTGTGGTTGAAATATTTAACAGTAACAATAAAATTGTGAATTATGTTGCTTGTATACTGTCACTGTATATGATTGACATAAGAACATGTGTTCTGTACAATGGGTAGCTTTAGGTGAACTTCACTCTAACTGTCAGAAGCTGTAATTGATGTGAATGGGAACTTTCAGCCTCTTCCCTTTTTTAACCATTCTCACTCTTCCTCCACCTCTTGTAAATCCCTGTTTGCCCTCAGGCTGAGTGTAATTCCTCTCCTTAGACTTTTCCCTCCTCCTCCTCTTCCTTCTACTCCTCCACCTCTCTCCCTGTGCTTGGCTGCCACTCCCCCTCCTCCTCATCCTCCTCCTCCTCTCATGACTCTACCAGTGGAGCCCGGCCCCCTTTTACTCTTCTCAGCTGGAGGAATTGGATACATTTACACACGCTTTCACAAACTCACACACAAGTGCTCAGGCAGTCCAGCTGGCGAGGAAACACAGGTATGATGACCCTGCTCGAGGACACCCTCCATGCCTCCAACTACAGACACCTTCCCCGCAACTGAACGTCGAGGCAGAATTAATTTCTTTAAAGGAATCTCTAAGGAAGTTTTTCTTCTTTTTCAACCCCACAACATTTGACTTTTCCTCAAGCTCAGGGATTGTTACAGCAACATGAGTGTGAAGAGGAAAAAGGCCAGACTAGTAATCCGCTGGCAGAAGTCATTCTCCATCCTGGCTCCTTGGAGGAAAGGTACAGTAATCTTCCTCTATGTCTCTCCACGTCAGGAGCAGTGCTTTATCCTTCCACAACAGCATGTCATTCCAGTCTAAGGGTGTGTTTTATTTCACGTCTCTGATTTCTCCTTGGCTGACAAATTCTCTAATCACAAACCAATGCTACCTCCATCTGCTAACAGTCATTAATTTGATAAAGAATGATTAACATTCTGAGGGCCACTGTGCTGTGCTTTGTTCTGTAGGTGACGAGAAGTGTGAAAAAGCCTCAGAATTTACACTACAGGGCCATTCTGATGGGAAGCAAATCTGTTGTTAGTTAAATGAGATCAACAGCACAATCATATGACTCAGTCTGTTTAATAAGAGTTTAATTGGATTCCCACACAGCCGGTTAACTTTTTTTTCAGGTTTTTCAGATTTTTCATCTTCTCTGGCTGTAAATCATAGAACTTTCATTTAAATGAGTGGTTTTAATAAAAACTGAGAGCTGTAAATACTGTGTCTGGTTTGTGGTTGCCCCAACAAACACAGAAAACTTGTGTATTACCTCCTCTGTGTCTACTGTAACAGGAGAACAGTATATGATAGCTGCTTGCAATTAAAGGCTCTTCACTTATTGCCACTGTACTACTCTTTATATCTGTAGGAGTTACAGCATTTCTATAAAAGTATCCATTTATGTAACGCTACTATTACACAATGTAAAACTGTAAAATTTAATAATATCTTGTTCTAATATGCATGTGCAGAGCAGGGGTGGCTTCTGGGGTTCCATCCCCAAATGTTTACTCTTAAAACCCCAAATCCTTTATTATTAAGTTATTTTTAAAGAAAAAACTGTGTCATTTGGCTTGAAAAACAGTGCGTATAACTGCCATACATGGACCAGGGACAGTCCAGCCCCTAGGCTCGGGCTCAGCCCTGAATGTTTACAACATCTGGCTCCGACCCTGCTGATATGTAAATTGTTTTGATTCATTCTTAGGGCTACATGAACACATTATTAGATTTTAATAGTAGCATAAATAGCATTAATAGTTTTGAACCCTTGAAGACAGCAGAATAAGCTGAAAACTGAAAGTTGTTAGGGTTAACATGTTAGCAAATAAGGGGATATGGAGCAACTGATGTATGCGTACACCTGACAAATGAAAGTCAAAGATTTTCTCTCTTTTTTGACTCTTTAGATGCTAAATGCTCCTGTATGTTCAAGTTGCTAACTGTCTGCTGTTTGGTGCAGGGAAGGTAGTGTACAGTGGCTTTATCTGAGCTTTTTCAATAAAAACAGATGCTAGCTGCTTCTGGAAACCAGCTTGATGAGTGTGCTGACACTGAAACAAACAGTAAATTAGCTGGCTGTAAAACCAAAATAATTAGCTAAAATAGGCTAAATCGCTTTTGAAGTCGGTGATAATTCTTTGCGTGTTCTTCAGTACAAGAAATTTTCAATAAAAATACTGTTTACTGCAACTTTAAAGCTGCATTATGCCCACAGGAAGTTGTAATCCCAACAATAACCTTGTAATTTTGTCCAGTCACTGTAACTTTTCCACAAATCGGAAACAAATTTGGCCAATCATTGTAGTTTCCCACAAGTTTTCTAGTTGTGAAGATGCAGAAATGTGCGACATGCAACCCTCTAAACTTTTTTCTCACTGGATATTTAATGAATTATACAAACAAATATTTTTTTTGTGCAATTTTCACTTTCTCACACAATTTCATCATACATAGTAGTAACAGCTATTTACACATCCAGCAGACACAGAGTAACATTTATTCAAGTTGTGTTTATGTCCACCTATTGAAGGTTCAGTATTTACTCTCCTTTAAGCTCTGGTTTGGTCTCCACCAACTCTGTCTCTGCTGCTAAACGCTCCACTAGGTTCACCAGCTAGTTGCCAATTTCCTCTGTGTACAGTGGGTTGGTAAGATCTTTTTCAAGTAAATCAGCTGCCTGCCAAGAAATTAGATTAGTGAGAGCAGTAAGACTGAACCAAATGCTAAATTTGTCAGCTCGAAAACCAAAACAATTAGCTAAAAGATGCTAAAAGCTTTTGAAGTTAGGGATGACTGAGAAAAGTCCATTCTCAGTGTATGTGCACTGCAATCACACTTACTGGATACTGGATCAGGATTGATTGATAAATATTGCAGCTTTAAAGCAGCATTTATATTTTTTTATGTACCATGTGGACCGTAACAAAAACAATGTGCTAGAAGAGGTTCCAAAGAGCTAAGGGGCACAGCAGAGTTGATTATTCTCTCTGGTTTATTCACACACAGTCATATTATCAAATAAATATATTGATGAGTCATGAGATCATATTCAGTATTATATAGTTGAGCAGTGTCGATCTGTGTGGAGTTTGTGAAATTTCTCTTGATATGACGCTCCCAGACAAACCAAAAGCAATCTAAAAGTGCAGCAGTACGCTGAGGGCTCTCATTCTCATCCCTTGTTCCCTTTCTAATCCTGGCATCAGGTTGCTTTGCATTCCATGTCCGAGCCTTGCTCAGATATCACCGTCAGCTTATGTACAGTATCCACACCCGCCAAGCAGCAAATCCTCCTAGCCGTTTTGTTGTGGGAGGGATGATAAGTCTGCTCATTGTTGCCGCAGTGAGGGAGCCCCTATGCTCTGCTTGACAGCAGTCACGTTGTTTGCCATGTAACTCAGAGTAGGAAGAAGAGAGCCATTGTAAAGATAACACTTACATTGTGTACGGTGCTGCGGGGAGCAGCTTTTAATTGCCACTTTCGTGTGTGTCCATGTTATCGTTTCATCGCTGTTTAGGTTCAGGAGATTGTCTGGGAAGCTGCAGCAGTATGAAATAACACTGCCTTTCTTCATACTGTAACATAGCATCACAGGCTGAAATCTAAGAGGGCAGAAAGCTGTGGAAAGCAACCAGAAAAGTATGTTTTCATTAGTGCATAAACACCTGAAAATAAGATTTGTTAATTTAAAGCTGCAGTAGGTAATTTTACTGAAACTTTCACTTCAGGCCCGGTGGATTCTTGCGAATGTGGAGCACTATGAGAAGCCAGAGATTTTTTCACAGATTATCTGTCTCATGTTCTACTGTTAGGATATAATGAACGTTTCAGCAAATACGACAAAAAGTGATTTTAGTAAAAGTTACCTACTGCAGCTTTAAGGCCTTTCCACACAGGGGATGTGACAAATAAACCCAAATGCGATCTCGTCTGCAAATTTGTCACATTGAAGCTTTTCATACCGGCAGTGATGCGAATTTGTGACTCATTAAAAAAAAACAACCACAAGCAGGACAGGGACTGGCAGAAAAACAGCGGCAACTTGCAGAGCTCCTGGGATTCTCAGGGGTCACACTGCAGCACCAAACCGCTTGTGGATAGAGAGGTTGCATTCATCGAGTTCATCTCTGCTGCCTTTCCCAAAAACAACACACCAAAGTCACACAAGACAAACTAATGGAGGCAGGAATAGAGCATCAACTCCTGTGTTCCTGTGAGGTAAAATGTTTTTCTGGGTTTTGAAGAGAGCACAGATGATATAACTGCTTCAGTTCCCCGTTGGTAAATCCCACATAGCAGTCTGTGCAGAGGGAGCAACTGTCATCCCACTTTTGTCACATTGTCTTTATCTTTTTTTGTGTTCTATAATATAATACAGAGTGATGAGAAACATAAACAATCAACAGGTTGCCCATGAGTTGTAATATGATTTCTGTTCCCCTCAATGTGACTGGTTCAGAAAAATCGTTCCAGAAAGAAATTACGTCACTTTCTCGCTGCATAATATTCACATTCTGTGTAATAGTACTCATGCCAAAAACAATAGCGGAAAAAAATATATTGATGTGTGAATTAATCACCCAAAAAAGTCCCACAGTGTGTAAAGGCCTTTAGTTCAATTCAATTCAATTTTATTTGTATAGCGCCAATTCATAACAGAAGTTATCCCAGGACATTTTCCAAATAGAGCAGGTCTAGACCGAACTCTTTATAACATTATTTACAGAGACCCAACAGTACCACCATGAGCAAGACCTTGGCGACAAGGGCAAGGAAAAACTGCCTGTTAAAAGGCAGAAACCTAGGACAGATCCTTCGGCTCTAGGTGGGTGGTCGTCTGTCTCGACCAGTTGGGATGAGAGAGAGAGAGAGAGAGAGAGAGAGAGAGAGAGAGAGAGAGACAGACAGACAGATGCACAGCAACGGCATGACTTCTTTTTATCTACAGAGGGAGTGGGTTCTCTCCTACGGAGTCTGCCATGTTTCTACAGAAGCCCAAATGGACAAACCAAACACTGGCTGTAGATAGGACCTTTCGCATTTTGGTAGTTTCATGGCCACTGTTTTACCTACATGCTTGGAAGGCAAATTATATTCAGTTGGTTGCAGTCTGAGATAAATGGACCTGCCCTCTCTGATCATCATTTGGTGACTAATACCTGAAATATGCAACAATGAGTTATATAGAGCGCTGTAATAGACAAGATACAGTGTAGAGAGGGGTTGTCAAACATTATTCAGACTGACACAAAGAAGAGCAGGTTTCACCAACAGATGGTGGGTTGAGAGATTTGCTCAGATATGTTTTACTGTGGATACTTCCATGTCAGTATCTTAGCAAAGGAAGGTAGCATCGCAACAGTGTAGTAATATCTACTTTGTACAACTTTGGCCTGAGTTATTTCGAAAGGTGTATTTTTGAAATTTTTTTTGGGAAGTTTAATTTACATTTAGTTTGCTTTGGTTCAGCAAGCCCAGGTTCCAAAATCAGCTTACATTTTAGACGGCAAATGTGGACAATGCGAATGTGATTCAGAGCCAGACTGAAGTAGGTGGAAATGTATGAACGTATCTTTCAAAACAAGCCGGTACCACGCCTAAGCGAGTAAAATGTAAAATGTTCACATCTGTTTCCTGTACACATGGACTTTTGAATAGGTTTTTCTCACCTGACCAAAACTGGCCCAAACATACTCGATATGACTGCACCTTGGAGATGTTCTGGGTATATTGATGCCTGGCTCAATATCTAATAGAAGAAACTATGTGGAAATTGGCTGCTGACATCCCTGCATCCTGTATTTTGGAGGGATGGGAAGTCAAACTCTAAACTGAGGAAATTGTCCCGAAGGAGTTTTGGCTTGAGTTACAGTGCTCCTGCACATTCTTGGCTTATCTTAATGGTTCCTGATAAGACAGAGTGGAGTTGGGGGCCCCCGTTAACTTTGATAAAGAGGGGGAGTCTGGGTATCATCCTTAGGGTTGATGACGCCACGGTCAATTAAGAGGTGGAAAACAGAGCCAGGCCACGTGTTGAGAGATGAGTCCAGTGGTGTGCCGCTTCTACTGGGTGTAGAGCGGGATGTTCTACCATATCACGTCTTCTTTATGTCACCTGTTCTAGCTCCCTTTACTGAAATGAAATGGTTTCAACTTGAGTGAAAATAAATGATTTTATTATGTACACCTGTGCTATGCCTACTGTGAAATGTCACAGTATCTTCCATGAAAAGGGTCTATTTATATGAGTTGTTGGAATGTATCTATTCTTCAGTAAAAAAATGACATTTAAGGTGTAACTGTGGCCCCGAAGTCTGCTAACTCCCTCCCTCCCAGCTAATTTAAAAAATGCTGGCTCTAACACTGGCCAGTGACAGACTGACTGTTGTGTAGTGTGGTAGTGTAGTAGGAATAATGCTACTGGTAGTCAGAGCTAACTGGGCTAACCAGCTGCTGTCATACTCCTTGTCCACACAGGCAACACAGAAAGGCCTTTCCACCAACAGGGAACCAACAGATGTACATTTCCCTTAAGATTCAAGTACCAAACTCATCTGAGGCTACATGTCGCCAATGTTTCCTCTAAGGCTAGCCATCCTAATGTGCACTGCTCTTTCACCAGTCAAACTAGAGCCAGAATTTCCCAAAGAGGGAGAAAGAGTAGATGTGCTTCTAGCCTCTTGTCAGAGTATTTTTCACTTTTTATGTTGGAAAACCATGTGATACAATAAAGTTTGTATTTTTACATACTTTAAAACATGTCTGGAGGGAACTTTAAATAACTGAAATTTTGACCACCCAAAACACACTTGACTCCTCCACTTAAACCTCTTTGCTGCAGCCCCAGCAGGTCAGTGTTGACCAACCGTGTTAAGAGGGAGCTGAGCCTACCTGTGCTGTAAAAAGAAATGGCTTGTCGCAGCCTGTTTATGACCTCCTGAGCTCTGGATCTGAGACCCCAACTGTTTAGCCCGAGGGCTTGCATGTGCCTTCATGTGGTCCCTCAAAAAGCCTCCCAAAATCTCGGAAAACTGAAGTTGAAAAACGAGGGTGAAGCAGATATCTATAAATGCACTAAGGTCTTGAGGAATACACCCCGTTTTTTAGGGTCATGAGAGCCAGTGAGCAGCTGGAAAATGATTTCAGGAGAATGATCATATCTGCATATGAATGTGGCCATAGGCTGATTATCAGAATCTGTTTTTCTTCTACTTGTGATGTTGAGCTCCCTTTGCATGCTGTTTCTGTTCCACTATAAATCATATTTGTCTTGGGAAACCAGCCATGACATAGAGGGTGGGGGCCATGGAGCATGATCTATGGGCAAGGTGCACACAACACAACACACACACACACACACACACACACACACACACACACACACACACACACACACATACATTTATGGATACTCCCATTCACTCGCTTTTCAACATATTGCTGGAAATCTTTCACTGCAAACGTTCTTTAAGGGACAGTTCACCCAAAAAATCAAAAACACATATTTTACCTTCAGAGCTATTTATCCATCTAGATTTGGTGTGAGTTGCTGAGTTTTGGAGATAGCTGGCTTCTCTTCAGGAACTATTTTCTTTTCCAACTGTACCTGAACGTTAGCTATCTCAGCAGTGTTAGGTGAACCCATTAATGTTTACATCCTGCGCTGTCATGAGCCTCTTGTGCATGAGTAGATGCACACTTCCTTCTGTTGGGTGATACGTAGAAAGAAAATAGTTCCCACAGGAAACTGCTCACAACAAGGTCTGTGGATTATCTTGAGTAACCGGGTCATGGTTTCTGGAAAGAAACACTGCTGTTGAGTTTTTTTTTTTTTTTTCCAAATGCATATATTTGGTGCTTTGAGCTCCACAAGCCCAGTGCCATCTGGTTTCATTATATTGGAGAGAAGGCTGATATCTCCAAAACCATCTAATAGGATAAATAGCTCTACAGGTAAGAGGAAGAAGATATAGTTTAGATTTTGGGGTGAACTGTCCTTAACCAGATTTTGTCTCTCAGTTTAAGATGATTTTTTTCTGGGATTGAGAACTTCCTACTGAATTCAAGCCACTGTCACTTTCCTTAACATCTTGAGATGAGCAAAACTTAGCTGGAAAAATCAGTTTAAAAAAAGCTATGTTGTCATGGTAAAGAAGCAGACCTGTGATATTAAATTAATGCTGAATTGGTACTGACAACAGACTGTAAAACATCATGGATAAAGCGTCTGTGATGTTCCTAAAGATATTATTTTAAGATTATCTCTCAAAACCTTCTCCTCACTGTGGATCAAGCAAACTATCCCCAATTTATATAACCATTTAAGCCTTTTTATCTTCCTAACAGAAAAAATATTCTCACATTACTTAAAAAAATGTATCAGACTTAATGCAGCTCTGGACACACACTTTTTACAATATTTTTCACATGTGCTGTAGTATTTTCCAACACTTGGAAACACTTTGATGTCCAAAATTGGTGGAGCTTTGATCTGGCCCTAATATCAAGCCCAACCCGAACCCAAACAAATTCTGTGCAAGCCTGATCCAAACCCGAACCACGGCAGCAGTTCTGGGCCCGAACCCGGCGTGTTGTGTTGGGTCCAATCTGTTTTGGGCAGGGAATCAAAGCTCTGCCTCGAACATCACATCTGGCACATTCAAGTATTTTGTCTAAAAGCAGGTGAACCTCCTCACCCTGTGTACGTCTTTTACACCTGTGCTGTATTTATATGTGACTCACTGTCTGAGGGAGTCTGCTGCCTGAATAAAAGAAGTGTACCAAGCGCGATTGATGTGTTTTTCGACTCCCACTGGCCTCCGTTAACCTGTGCATGCAGGCTTTTCCCTCCAGCCTTCCAGGCAGCTTAGAGCTTTGTTCTGCAGCGGGCCAGCCCACTTACTCTGATCTAACACCTTTAGTCCCGACAGTTTGACAGGGACAATACGAGCACCGCCTGGAATGTGAGAGTGGGACGGGAAATGGCTGAAGGACGTTTTTAGACAGAAAAGAGGCTTAAGGATGAGTGTGGCAGGGGGGAAGGGGAGGTGGACTATATGTAATTATATGTTGTGGATTTCAGTCAACTTGAAATAGACTGAGTCAGTCCTGCGTAGACGATTACAGAATGGTGCAGAATGTTTGTGTTGTTTGGGCGGGATGAGGACAGCTGGATCAGGCTGACACCTGTCCAGCTGACGGCGGTTGGGAGGAGAGGATTATAGGGAAGCACAGGGATTGTATCACAATAACAAGAAGTCAGATTACACAGCTGAGTTGGCCGGATGACTTCAGCGTGTAATTAAAGTCAACCTGCTCTCCTTCTCATTGTCTGCTGGTAATTTACAGGAATAGGTAGGCACTGACAGAACTAAAGAGTTGTGTTGAGTAAAAAACAGTGTCTGATGTTTGGTTTCCAGAGAGACAATCTGTTCATATTCTGCCTCTGCCTGAACTGATAAGTCATTTAATTAATTTCAGAGCTCTCACATTATCAACTGACATTTTTTTCACATGCCTGGGTTATGGAAACAAATTCTTGGGCTGTTGTGTCAGTGAAAATAAATCGGCTTCTTCTTGTTAATTGAAGGAAGATGACTTGGACACAGAGACACCACAGATGACTTCTGCAGAGCTGCAGCTCATACAGCCCAGTATTTTCAGGTATAGCGTTTTTTCACAGCAGTCATTTTAGAGTGAAATAGTAGAGTAAACACTGCTATTACAACTGATACTAATCAAATAAATTCTATGCCATTCAGGTAAAACAGGGTGCTGCTATTGTGCATGTTGGCTCACTGGAAAGGCCCTGCTACACTAAATAGAACGCAGCCATTTGGTGTTAGACCATTAAGAAATGTAGGCACTGAAAGTATCCTGTGGTTTTACAGATCTTTCCAGTAGCAATGTTATTGATGGCAGTAAAGTTGGTATATCATTTTAGTGCAGTTACAATAAATGTTGAGCCAGGTTGAGCTGTGCAGGCTGAGTCTGCTGCAGTGATAGATTTATTGCCTCTTACTCACTCTTGACATATACTGAATGAAAACGTGAAAAGAAGGTCGGAACAATGCAATCAATATTCTCACAATAGATCGGAATTAAGTAAAGAGAGAGACTGGGTGTTTTTTCTACTGAGAGATAAAGTCCTGGTTTGACGGAAACAAAAACATCTATACATATTATATCTGAGATAGCCGCTGACCTACATTCTCGTGGTATTTTGCTCCAACACATGCTTTAGTTCTACTCCTGAAAAGATACGTTACAATTTGTTGCATTATTGAGATTCCAGTCAGATACTGCGTGGGTCAACAGATGTCGACACCTGAATGAAGCAGCCGTAAATATTCTGCCAGAGTCATTTTATAGTTCACCTGCTTGTTAGCGCACGTTCAGCTGATACTAAGAGCTATAAGACAGACAGTTGTCTGTGGTGCAACATGTGTAACAAGTGGTTTCACTGACTCACCCCTCACAGTCAGACCATCTATTGATGGCTGGTTTTTCTGTTGTTGGTGTTCCATGGTGGAAGCCTGGATGGATTGCTGCTCGGGGGCCTCCAGCCATGGGGGCCTCCCTCTTGACTGATCTGTGGGTAAGGCCCCCTTGTAGTCAGAGGGCCCCAGGGTATAAAGCGGAGACACAAAACAGAAATGTGAGTGTAAAAGTAATAAATCAGGAGTGTTGTGTTAAGAGCAAGTTATTATTTTACAATGCATCAAAAATAACACCAGCCCACAGGGAGTTTTTCCTCATCCGAATCCAGGCTTACAGATTGTGAAACCCTTTGAGACAAATTAGTGATATTGGGCTATATAAATAAACTATGACTTGACTAATCGCTGCAGACACACTACTCATAGCTGAAAAAGGGTAAAACTATGAAGTAAAAAAATGTAAATCTGTATTTCTAATTACATTTAATATTAAAGACAGAAACAAAAGTAAGATAGTGAAGCTCTTTGTTTTAATGATGCAAATACAACATATTTATAAAGGAAACTAATAATAAATAATATTATCATTATCAAATAATTATCATTATTATGGAAAGCACAAGGATCCGTTTTATATGGAGGATAAAACATGACATTATTCTAAATATATACCTGAATAAATGCATAAATAAAGGATTAAATGCAGAAATAAATGAAAAATATATATATTTTGGTAATTAAAATGTATATTTCTGTACTTATTTGTGTATTTCTACATTTATATATTTCTAGATGTATTTCTACATTTCTTTCTTTCTGTCAGATCCAATATATTTACATACAGACATGGTAATAAATGAATAAATAAATGTAAAAATGCAGAAACACATAAATAAATAAATTATAGATAAATACATGAATAATTTTAGAATTAAATACATGAATAATTGTAGAAATACAGAGTTAAATAAGAGATAAATAAAAGACTAAATGTAGGAATAAATAAATAAAGGCAGAAATACATAAATAAATACATGTAAAACTAAATACATGAATAATTGTAGAAATAGAGAAAAAATAGAAAGAAAGAAATGTAGTAACATATAAATACATTAATGAATGATTAATACAGAAATAGCCATTTTCTATAACCGAAATCTATTTTTTTATTGTATGCAATTATTCATTTTTGCATCATATCCTTTTCCTTCATAATTGTATCAATAAGAATGTCTGACTGCATTTTCTATTAAATTGAATTTCAGTAGTAAGATATTGGTGCAGACAGCATTCAAGTTAATTTGTTGACCTCAAGATGTTGAGCCCAATTACATGTAGTGTAGATTACTGTGAAAATACCAAACATATCTGAGTACAGCTGTTTATTTACTCCCCATGACTTCCTACAGTATATGACAGCCACTGTTCTGCAGGTTATCACTGCTGCTCTGTAACCTTCTTAAATCCTCAATCTGTAGGCTGTGTGTGAACCACAGCCTACAGCAGCTCTCTTCACACACTGATTACACAAGTGACTGGACACTGTCTTGATACAGCTAATTATGAGATTATGAGGAGCTGCTGCTGGAGACACATATCCCCTTTTAACAGGTATACAGTCCTGTTAAAACAAGATGTCTAAATAAAGTCTTCCCTTTGATTGTACAGTAAAACCCTGAGAGACACCAGTTGTAGTTCTTCTTTAACGCTGTAATTCTACAGCAGCATACTGCTAAATTACAGTAATATGATGGACATTAACTGTGAAGTTACAATTAAATGAAGTAACTCTACAGCAGTATACTGCTACATGGCAGTAATATGATGGACGTTAACTGTGAAGTTACAGTTAAATACAGTAATTCTTCAGGAGCATACTGCTGTGAGGTCACAGTATACAGCTGTCATTCACAGTGATTTACTGTAAAAATGATACAGTATCTAACTGTGCAAGTAATGTACCTATAGTTAGTAACTTACAGTCAAATATTTAACTGTGCTCATATGCTACATTGGTGATGGTGTTGTATTTAAATCTATTTACAGTTAGGCCCAGAAATATTTGGGCAATGACACAATTTCCATGATTTGGGCTCTGCATGCCACCACATTGGATTTGAAATAAAACAACTGAGATGCAATTGAAGTGCAGACCTTCAGGTAATTCAAGGGGTTGAACAAAATTATCCAATGAAACGTTTAGGAATTGCAACCATTTTTATCTTTTATTTAAGTCTCCTCATTTCAGGGGCTCAAAAATAATTGGACAAATTAACATTAGCATAAATAAAATGTTAATTTTTAATACTTTGTTGAGAATCCTTTGCAGGCAATGATCACCAAACTCTGGGGTTTCTCCTTTGTGATCCTTTGCTGCAGCTGTCTTCAGTTGTTGCTTGTTTGTGTTTTTTCCTGCCTTAAGTTCTGTCTTAAGCAAGTGAAATGCATGCTTGATTGGGTTGTGATCTGGGGAATGACTCAGCCATTGCAGAATATTCTACTTCTTTGCCTTAAAAAGCTCCTGGGTTGCTTTCGCAGTATGTTTTTGATCATTGTCCATCTGTACTGTGAAGCGCCGTCCAATCTTCTGAGCAGAAAGAATATCCCTGTACACTTCAGAATTCCTCCGGCTGCTTCTGTCTTCTGTCACATCATCAATAAACACTAGTGACCCAGTGCCGTTGGAAGCCATGCATGCCCATGCCATCACACTGCCTCCACCATGTTTTACAGAAGATGTGGTGTGCTTTGGATCATGAGCCGTTCCAAGCCTTCTCCATACTTTCTTCTTCCCATCATTCTTGTACAGGTTGATCTTAGTTTTATCTGTCCAAAGAACGCTGTTCCAGAACTGGGCTGGCTCCTTTAGATGCTTTTTGGCAAAGTCTAAACTGGCCTTTCTATTTTTGAGGCTGATTAATGGATTGCACCTTGTGGTGAACCCTCTGTATTTGCTCTCATGAAGTCTTCTCTTTATGGTAGACTTAGATACTGATACACCTACTTCCTGGTGAGTGGGTGTTGTAAATGGGTTTTTCTTCACCATAGAAATGACCCTGTGATCATCCACCACTGTCCAGGCCTTTTGAGTTCCCGAGCTCACCAGTGCGCTCTTTTTTTCTCAGGATGTACCAAACTGTTGATTTGGCCACTCCTAACATTTCCGCTGTCTCTCTGATTTCTATTTCTATTAGATGTAACCAGCTAGCTAACAATTAATGTAGCAGTTAGCTATTGTTTTGCTCCGTAAGAAAATGCTAGCTAACTAGCCAGCTAACTAACGATTGATGTAGATTAGATAGATAGTTTGTGTTTTGCTAACATTAGCTTGCTATCTTACGATGTGAGATCCAATATACATAACTATAAACAGATAAACTTGATTTGGATCCTTCAAGTTAGACTTTGTGAACTGAGTGGGACATTTTACAGTGTAGAAATAATCCTGTCAGCGCTCTCTAGTGGAAAAACTAGGTCATGGACACACTTTTTCTATACTTCACTTTACTTCACATATCTTTGTCATTTCTGTACCACCATATCTTGTTACTTATCAGCTGATATGATCTGCAATAAGCTAACATCGGCTGATATATCGGCTCCTGCTGAATCTGACGGTCCTCTCCATTCCCACAAATATCAGCTTTGTGAATTGAGAGTTTGCAGTTGGTGATAATTTGTATTGATTGTTGCAATTCCATTACAATTAATTCATTTGAAATTTTCTCTAAAATTGTGCCAGGCCCTCAGCCTTTGCCTCTATAAAACATTCTGGAGATTGCTTGCATTGTTAGTGACTTTGACATCACACTCTGGCTTTGAGTTGCTTCAGAAGTATTGCTCAAGAGACAGTAAACACTAATTTAGGCTAACATAGACATAAACACACAAAGGGCTTTTCAGTTCACTCAGATACAGTGAGCTCATTGGGAATAACAATAAGTCTCAGTGTTGACCTGCTGAAGCCACAATGGAAAGAGCTGCATGCATTTCACTGCTTTTCCTAGCATTTGGCAAAAACAGGAAATTAGTTTTCTAGCCTACAAGGAAGACAAGGAGTCAACAGCTTGAGTCGAGCTGATTAAAAAAACATAAGTTCTGCATGTAGCAAAAGCAGAGTCTAACAAGAGCTCACCACATCACAGACAACAGTGTGTGTAAAGAAAATAAATTGGCAAATTCTTGGCTCGACTGTAAAATTTTGAAGTGACAACTGAAACATAGTAAACATATTCACTGCCTTACTAAGGCCACAGTGTGATTCAGTCAGAGCAAGAGGAGAGTAAACAGTGGAAATTTAATTTCTTCCAAAAGGCCATGTTAAATTATTTTGGAAATCTAATAATAGCTTCTTCCCTTCCTGAAGTGTATTGTCCAATATGTTATTTAAAATGGAATTGTGATCTGAGCTCTACAGTTTTGTGCACTTCTAAGTTGTGAAGCATATTTATGGAATAAAATGTACTATAATCCAGGAATTAACTATCACATCTAATGATTGAAAATTTAAACCAGTAATGAACAAATATTAAATACTTACAATTTTTGGCTTTTCTGTAATTGCTGCAACAACGTTTTTAAGTTAAAAAATAATGACCATATGAACTTATAACGATACAGGGGATGCAATTAAATATATTGCGAATTTATTTTAATCAAATTTTAGGAAAACTGCCAGTATAAAGAACACACCATGCGTAAAATCTGAGTAAAAAAAGTTAACTTTTTTATGCAATCAGAACAGTGGGATTTGTATTTAACACCGTCGCTGTAACATCTGACATCATAGCACTACTTTTTCTATCTGAGCCTTAGAGTAGAAGAGAGATTACAGTCAACACAAAATGATTTTTTTCTTGTAGCCATACTGGCCACACATAGTGCACTATGTAAAAATGTTTTGTGTTTTAAAAACGGCAGAGCTCTCTGTTTTTGTGTCGAACCAGTGGGAGAACACAGACCTTGTTTAACATGGGAAGAGACCTGGTGTTTAGAAGCTGATATGGCACAACCGAACACCCTACTATCAGTGTTTTGGCAGATCTGCTCTTATTCAACAACAGGGTTATCAAAACAGTGGTCATTTTCTAGGAGCTGTGGGTGTATTGTTGTTGTGTGCAATACAGTGTTGAGCACTTCACAAAAGGTTTTCTGTGGAAAACCATTAAACCTTAGATTCCTTTTCTTATTGATTTCATGTACTTGTACTTCATCAAAAGCAGTTTAGATTTTCAGTTGTGCTATGTTACAAAGAAAGAAAAAAGAAAAAAACCCCTCCAATCAGTTCCAGTCAGCTAACTAATTTATTGTGAATCATTCATCATTCTGTGCATGCAGGCCTCCACCCTTCACAATCACAACATCCCCTCTGCCTCATCTAAACCACACAGAAGGGAGTATGAATGTCCACATACACACATTCACACGACTGTTATTTATTTTGCTTTGCTGCCTATTATCAATAAGCCAAAGACTTTCAGTTCTGCTCAGATTCTCACAACATGCTTTAGAGAAAATTCCCCTTCAAGGACTCCCTCCGCCAAAGTTCCCCTCAGAGAGGATAAAAGCGTCGGATTTACCACTTCAAAGAACTTTTAATCTCATATTTGCCTTGGCAAGATCTCCAATTCACCCTGCAGGAAGTCTCCCAACCTCCACTATTGTTAAAGTGTGATCTAGCACTCTGGAATTATATTCTCCCGAAATGGTGCTTAGCTGCAGTTTTATTCAGGCACTTGACTAAACAAATAGAACAACCCCGGCTCAATCAGGGCCCTCCATTTCTCTGGGGAAAGAGGGAATGCTTTTTGTCCTCCCTCTTAAAATTCAAAGGTTGGAAGGGAGGAAAAAAATGTCACTTGACTGACAGAGAGACATATCAAATTGCCCACAGTGAGAAACAGGAGAGGACACATATGACTGCTCCCTGTAATGGTCTTAACTGGAGCTTCAGATCAAAGCTGGACAGTCAGGTAGCAGACACTGACAAATTGTACTGGTCCTTTGGTATTTCAGTTAAAGAATGCAGGATTACATAAACAGTAGTCCTACTTCCCAAGTTTCACTCAAGTATCCAGTCTTATCACTTTTGATGTACTTTTTGAGGGTACACATGGGCCATTCTTGATCAAAAGACTGGATACAGTCCAGAACTAGCCAACTGATGTTGACAGAAAGGGTGAAATACCTGCGCTTCTGCAGTCTTTAATTTTGCTCATAAAATGCCCTCAAAATGAATTATAGTAGTACATCAGCTGGGTATTATATAATTTGGCTATCGCTGAAATACCTTAAGTCAAGCAAATCCGTTCCCTGGCAGCTCCAAGCTACACTTTAAATTTGGCTTTGGCTCAGGTACTTCAAGGTCTTTCGTTTCCTTTGAGGCATATCAGAGACATTTACAGACTGTGTGAAAACACTGCAAACTTCCAGCACAGGTATGCAGATGAGGGAGAATTTTCTCTGAAGAAAAACAATATCAGTTGGTTCAGCAAGGGCCCATTAATGACAAGGGAGTACGTTCAGGTAACAAAGACCTTTAGCAGCTATAAATTAACTCTTGACTGTTGGGACCATCAACATATAAAAGATGGACATTGTGTCTCAACTTGGTGAAACCTCCTGTTTATAGCGTCAAATAACAAATTAAAACTAAACTGATCAGAAAAATGAACATACATCAGCATGATAGGAACTGCCTCAACCATCTTTGGAAAAAATGTATTTCATGTGTACCCATCTGCTAACATGGACGCAGCAGGCTGCATGACCTATACTGCAGTCAGCCACCAGGGATACGATAGAAATGTTTTGGTTTCACTTTTGGAGAGCTGTCATGTCGTCCATTTGTATATATGTCCATTATGTCCATTAGATCAGAAGTTATGCAGTAACAATTAGGCAATTGCAAAAAGCGTATTATAAAATGACTTTTTGAGAATGGGCCTCTAGAATAAATCTACATTTCTTTATCTGTTCAACAGGGAAAGGAGACCGAGATGCAGTGCTGGATAGTGAGGTTGTCCTGACAAAAATGAAGCTCTTCAGCAACTTCCAAGAGAGTCTCCTGATAGCTGACGACACCACCTCCACCATCTCCAGCTCTTTCGAGCAGGACATCAAATTGTCTGAGGGGAATTCACACCTTGACGATAAGTCCAAACAGCCCCAGATGGAGTCTGGCTCAGACTACTTGTCTACTATTTTCTCAGACTCTCAGCTGACAAGGTTGTACAAGTTTGAGTCGGAGGACTCTGGAGTGGAGCTACCCAGCGGAGCTAACTCTCCATCCACCCCAACAGACTCTGAGCAGAGCTTTGTGGTCCACAGTCGAGAGTCCTCCTGCGATTCTTGCAACTTAAACTCCGACCCTGAAACTCTCACTGATAAACTAGTCACATATGCACAGAGCTCTGAGATAAAACAGGCAGAGGACTTGATGGATAATAGTCTGAGTACGGCAGTTAATGCTCAGGACGATGTGTTCTTACACTCAGAACAACTTAGTTCTTCAGCTGTGAGAGAAGAACTGCACATAGATGAGGACATGGACAGGGACGAGTGTATGGCTCCAGGAATCAGCCCTGAAGGAGATGAGGAGATGTCTGGACAGATCGAGGAAAACAGTAGTGTAACTGAAAGGAACTGCTTGGAGCATATGAGGCAATATGGGAAGAAATTGTCAACAGAGGCCTGGGATGTCATGACAGGCAATGACTTTGAGCCAGAGCCATGGAGGAGTGCCACCACTGACAGCCTGGAGGAGTACATGGATGAATGCTGTAGACTCAGTGAGGTAAGAAGATTATAAACTGTATGTAGTACAAACTGTACAGACATTAGTTGTAGCTAACCTCATCAGTACCAACAAAGTGTGTGCAGAGTATAGTCTGACTAATAGGATCATTTTTCAGACAGTAATAGTATAATGGTGGTGGGGCTGAGTTATTGTCTATAAGTCTTTGCATTCAAGTCCCCAGTCAAGTCCCAAGTCCCTAAACTTTGAGTTTTGAGTCCTAAACAAGTCGGGAATGAAAGGTATTGATTTGTGACAAACTTTTTAAGTAACATACTTACTTCTTTGGGCTTGGTGGAAGGTTCATGTATTTTCAAATCAAAACACTCAAGTCACAAGTCCAAGCCGAGTTGCAAGTATTTTTTGATTTTGTCAAGTCATAAAATTTGTGACTTGATTCTGACTCAAGCCAAAGTTATGTGACTTGAGTCCACCCCTCTGCATTAACAGCATAGAGACACTGGGCGGCTGTGACTCAGAGGCAGGGCAGGTCGTTCCTTAATCTGAAGGTTGTGGGTTCGATCCCCAGCTCCTGGTGCCACATGTCGAAGTATCCTTGAGCAAGATACTGAACCCTAAATTGCTCCTGATGCCGTGCAATTTATCCATGCCATTTCTGTACTGTAATTTCATAATACCAAATTATCCATGGGGCACTAATGTACCTCTAGTGTGTTACTGACTGAGCTCCAAATCCAGTATTTCCTCCTGCTTTCCATTAGATCCTTTTTCCTTTGTTTTCTTATCTCAACGTGTTCATGTACAAATGTTTTTGCATTTTCAAATCCTGCAGGTACATCCTTTCTTCAACTCCTGCTGTTCAGGGAAATCATCTTACATCTGCTAGTAAAATTCACTCAGCTTTCATTCTGAACACAGCTTTAGAAATATTCTCTGTCCAAACTAGCCTGTGTAAGCTAGATGTCTTCAGCGTGTGCTGAGTGATTTCAGGATGAAACCCTTAATGCAATGCAAACACTGATAACCTTTTGCAATCATGTTGGACAATACATTTATCTCCCTGTGCATGTGTTTAGTGCTTCCAAAACTGTTGTATAAAGACAATTCTGGTTCCTCCAGACTTGAGGAAAACCCCCTCTGGGTGAGCAATAAGGATATTTCATGTCCTCTGTAATTATCTCTGATTTTAAACTTTTTTCCAGCCTCTATGTCACTGGGTAATTGCATCACTGGATCTGAAATACAGTTCACTGAGTCAGGTATATTCTGGAGTGTCTCCTTTAAGTCTGATTAACACATTTTTAAAGTTTCAGATATTCTCTTTAACTCTGCAGCTGATCCAGAATGTAAAAAGCACTGAAGCTGTACCTATCCTTTGACAACTGGGACAGGACAAACAAAGTAGCTGTACTCATTCACAAGGACCTGCAGGGGCATGTTTCATTCATGTTATGGGAAAAGAAGAGTTATTTTCTTGTTCACATCCAATGGGCTCTACACAGAGAGCACCTGACAGCTGTGGAAGCTGCAAGGTCATAATCACCTGTTTGATGTTGCTGAAAACACAGGCATACAACACAGCCCGGCCTTGAGGCTGTCTTTCATTACCAGCAGCTATTAGAGTGAGAATCTGATACAGTCTTAAGTTTTCCACATGAATGCCTTCTGTTGTTTCGAAACGACAGTGCTACTAACAACGGGTTTAAAGCACCTTTTGAGTAACAATCTTCATTCCCAAAAGAGAATATAGTTTTAAAGAGTAAGTTAATGAATATGTTAATTAGTATTAGTGACATATATATTGACATCTTTACAAGTTTGAGATACTAAAAATGGCTAAAAGTTTGTTGGGGTCCGACTGATACTGTTACTTTTTTAGGTATATATCAATATCAATATTTTAGAAGCTTGGGCTCTAGCCTATTATTTGTGTTAGAACAGGAGTCAGCTATGATAGCATCAGTGCTTTGAGCCAATGCTAACGTCAGAATGCTAACATGCTCACAATGGCAATGCTAAATGTTTCAATTTAGCAGATAGCTATTTGGTCATAGAATAAAGTAAGGTGAACTGATGATGGCACTTGGTAGAAAGTCAGGGTATCAATTACTAAAAAAATACTATAAAACTGTAGTTCCACAAACTCCAGCAGTGAGTCAATCTCCATAAGGCCCCATATTAAAATGGCCAACTTCACAACAGAAATAAACATGTTTACAGCCTGGTCTCTATAGCTAATTATTCTGTTCATGACAACTCTACGGGGGTGTGAATATTTATATAACTTACCCATTTAAATTATATTAAGGCTTAAAGTTTGGGTGGTATCATAGGTGGCGGGTTTTAGCAACCAGTCTTCATTCAGCCCACCTCAGCTCCATCCACTCACCTTGTTTTTTGCCTGTTACTGGATTCAAGATGGCGACGGCCAGTGCTGAAAAACTGAGCTTCAGAATGGCGCTTCAGAAACATATGGATGACCTCAGGGAGACTACCCCTTTCTATACCACATTTCATGGCAATCCATCAAGTAGTTCAGAATTATATTTCAGTTTGGACCAAAGTTGTGGACTGACCAATTAAATTACCCTTCAATATCAGCAAAGCTAAAAATTATTCCCATTGAGGCAAGGCTCAAGGGTCGCTTACTGAACAATCTGTCTACTAAAACCCTCACTTTGAAAACCTGAAAAGAATATATAGAAAACACCCAACAGTGGTATAGATATATCTCCATACTTACAACAAAGAGTTCGGTCTAGACCTGCTCTATTTGAAAAGTGTCCTGAGATAACTTCTGTTATGAATTGGCGCTATACAAATAAAATTGAATTGAATTGAAAAACAAATAATTTAAACAACTAATAAAAAACTGCATTTCAAAACAGATATTTTACCACATTCTTCTCATGTCTTCCTCAAAGACCTTTCAAAACAACGTCAAGCTCAAATGCGTTTCTGAAGACAAGGGTTTTATTATTGCCGGCACATTCGGCAAACCAAACCAAGAGAGCCTGCTTGTGCTCAGGCTGAGGCAGTAAGGTGGGGAGTGCGTGAGTTATAGTGCGCAGCAGCTTTTTCATGGACCTGCATGTCATGCAGCACCTGTTCATCTGTGCCGTGGGCCTAGAGATTTTTCCAGCGATACTGTTGCTGACCGCCAGCCCCTCTCTCATCTGGACCCCCCCTGTGTTGCTTGGCGGCCTACCTGGATGCATCAAATAGGTGTCAAATATCTCAAATTACTCAAATATTTACCTAGATAAAGGCTCTTTGATAGGTCCCTGGGGCCCCTGTAAATTAATGGCGTGTGGCAGTGGCTTTTAGGGGCCCAGCATAACAGACTCTAGGGGTACATTGCTGACAGGGAGTAAGGTGGTGTCACCCCCACCGTCATCATCATCATCACTTGTCACCACAGCTAATAATGTAATTCCTTTCCTGGCTAAATGGGACTCTGTAGTCCGTGGCTGAGGGATATTAGATTTTTCTTGCCTCAAACATTAAGGACTTTCTCTGTTTACCCACCTGCCTTTCCTCTCATACTATGTCCCTCTGTCCGTCATTAAATACAACAAGAATAGATTCTATAATCTCCGCAAGTCTTAAGGCTCAGATGTTGGAGATATTTTTGCACAGCTGTCATATTTCCATCAAGTAGTAACAGTGACCATATGGACCTGTTTAGCTGCATGTCTGATCTCACACTTGGTATCCATTTCAAAGCATACTTACCTAATCAGCACATGTGTGAAATGTAATTAAAATACAAAGCCTGGACGCTTCTGGTTTACTTGAATTCCTCAGCTGCACAACGTAAGTGAGAACAGCTCAGATGTGCTTCTGCCAGGGTTGTTTTCCATCATCATTAAAGTTGCAGTAGGTAACGTGTATAAAAAAGAACTTATCATATTTGCTGAAACTTCACTATATCCTGACAGTGGTACATGAGACAGATAATCTGTGAAAAAAATCAGGCTCCTCCTAGTGCTACTAATGGTATTTGCAAGAATCCACCAGGCCTAAATGAAAACAACCAATCAGAGCCAAGAAAGACAGAAAGACACTTGGTTGGGAGCTTGAAGATAGTTGATTGTTGAGTCTCATTTGACGGCCTGGGAATGAGATTCAACAATCAACAATCGTTCTTGGCTCTGATTGGTTGTTTTCATCCAGGCCCAGTAGATTCTTGCAAAAAGCAATTTTTTATAAAAGTTACCTACTGCAGTTTTAAGGATTTCAAGTCCCTGTATAGACAATGTATACCAGGTTATTACACCTGATAACATAAAATAAGTGTATTACATTTCCATCAGTGATTAAGAACTAAAAAATAAGACAAACGGACTAATCAACAAATTTTTGCTGTTTAAAACCCAGTTAAGTTAATAATTGAAAGTTGGTATTGCTGGTTTTAATGCTTTTCACTGGGTAAATATTTGTAAAACAGAGAAACATAAAGGGTGGCCAATAGCACTGATTTATGAAAAGAAATTGTCATACAAGGTTTCTGCCCGACTAAGCAACAAAATTAAGTAATTACTGTTTAAATGCAAAGACTAGTAAGTAGCTCATAAGCAGCATCTTGCATTTCAGTAATGTTAGGTCTTTGCCACTGATGTTAGCTAAAAAAGTTAAATATTTCTGTACTAATTTCATGTACAATCCAATGGAAAAATTAGGCAAGAAGTGGCAACAAAACAAAGACGTACCATGAAGTTAGAAATGTATATAGTGCCCTCAGATAATGCATACATGTCAGAAATCTCAGGTAAACAGTATCTTCTCTGCTTGCCTTGCAAGAGACGAGAACGACAACTGTAATCTTGGTAACTGTACACATCCCCAATGGCGACAAATATAGCCTCAGAATGTGTAGATGACACTAAAAAAAGTTCACAAAAAACTAAATAGATTAAAGTCAGGAGCCAAAACCAACACTGGACAGAAGAACAGCTCCAGCACATAGAGTCAGTTCCCGCCTGAGTGCTTTGAAAGATATATTGCAGGGAAGTGAGGCAGAAACACTATCTGTGTGT